ATCGAGTGAAGAATCTAAATGGAAGACTTTGCGGTCTAAGACTTTTTCCCGTCAAATTTCCCTACACCAGTGTATTTTACTCTATGCATTTATTATGTACTCATCGTAGTATATTTTTATTTAAATATTTAACTGTGTGGTTGTGCAATACGGATTCAAGCGTAATTTCCGTGTTTTTGTTCTGTATTGCAAAGCGAGCACGAAGACCTATAGTATATTATATAAAAATGATCCATTTCTCTAGCAAATCTCTTGTAAAAAATGCATGTGATACATACAATTTAAGGATTAATTTACTTATTGTATGTCAGATAACGTTAGCAGACTTTGATTGCTAACGTCTTCGCGAAATTTGGGAGAGAAAGGTTTTAGAGTTGCGTCCAATTATTATTATTAACTATTACTATTTATTGCAACTATTAAGAAACTGTTGATATTTAATATGTAACAAGTTCGTTTCTTTAGATTGCCAGTATTACTAATAAAATTTCAAATTTCAATCGACCTCGGCTGGCCACATTTATTAAATTAGCTTTCGCAAGTTCCCACTTGATAGCCGAGTCGAAATTTTGGCCCTATGTTGAACCTTTAACTCTATTATATACACAGAAAAAACATAAATGTCAAATAAACTCTTATATACTTAAATTAACGCGTTCATTGTTTCGTATATACGCAACAATCTATAATCTTCTTTGAAGCATTTAATAATCTTATATTCCAACAATATTACAGTCTTATTTAAATACTATAATTGTCACTTCAAGAATACAATATGTAATTTTACTCTAAGAAAATTATAATCTTCGATTTGAAAATATGTTATCTCCTATTCAATATTATTTCCTTTCCATTCAAGGAAATTATTTTTAAATAATAAGTATATTCTTTTAAATAATAAGTATATTTTCTTTGATTGAATTCTATAAAATTGCTTCATTCAAGAGCGTTTTCTTCGTTTAACGCAATATAATCTTATTTCAAGATTTTCACGTTGAAACTAAACATATTTTCAAAAGAAGAATATTATTTTTTTCTGTGTAGTAGGACAGTAAAAGAGCTCGAACTGCAGGTACAAAATTTACTCCTACTTAAAAACTGATAGTGTCGGAAATTTCTACCTTTGCCAATTTAGCAGGTCCTTTTAAGCAGGAGCTGAAGTAAAATTTTAGAATTAAAGATTCAAGGGGGGAGCAAAGAAATGTACGGTCATCAAAGTAGGTTATTGTTGGTCTATGTAGGTGTATAGATCAGCTAAGTAGATGTAAATTATCCTTGAAAGTGTCGACATAGTATTTCGACTCGGGTAAGGACCTAAACCACAGGTCGAAACGTTGTGAGAGCTAATTTAACAAATGTGGCCAGGTCGATTGAAGTGTGAAATTTTAACATGTAACTCCAGAGACTGATTTGGAGGCTCGTGCCTTCGTTCGCCGCATCGTGTCTCACAAGCAGTGCCATCGCGCTCGCCGTAACGGGTAATTGTCCAGATCCGATTTAAAGGGCACGGGTAGGCGCGGGCCTTCCGCGCTAGGAGGTCGAAAATAAGGCGACAGGCAGAACGCGGAAAGATAGGGGAACGTGGGTAGGCAGGCGCAGGCAGAGCGTAGTGCCGGGCATTGTCTCCGGGGCCGTTGGTTGTTGCTTAAGTGGCTTGTTTCCACGCTTTCGTGGCTCGCCGCGGTCGCCGGTAGGAATCGCGCTGTCCGTGTACGAAGCGCCGGGTGCCGCGGGGACGCTTATTATTAATAAGCCGCGGTTACGCCAACGGGCTTTGAATTAAATAACACCTCTGGTAGAGCGAAATTCGACAACGCGGACAAAAGGAGGGAAGCTCAATTGGGTAAACAGCATTAGTCGTGACCGAGCGACCGTGTTGCCGCAATCTAACTCTGTCGCAATCTCTGGGAGAAGCGCGATGATGGAAAGAATAGAAACGCTCGAGGAACGATGGAGATGGAGTCGCGCGTAGATCCGACGCGTTTGGACCGAGGCTCCCGTGAGCTCAACGCGGCGCGTCGCTCTCGCTCGTCGAAAATCGACCAAGTGCAGGCTGCAGTTTATTAAATGGCAAGCCTGAATGCTAACAGGCCTGTGTCCACGACGCTGGTCCAAGTTCTTGATCCAAGCTTTTATGGAATAGTCGCAAGTTGATCGGCTGCACATTTCTCGAAGTTAGAACTTGGTCCAAGTTCTAGCATCGTGGACACAGGCCTTACGAATCGCGAGGAGGAGGAGGAGGGCACACTTGGAATTCAATCTTGCGTCCCGTGATCAGATTTCGACGAAATCCGCGGAGAGACGTACGTTCCTATCGATATCCCTTTACTGTTTTTTTTTTAATTTCCTTTCCCTCGTTCTCGCTCCTCGCGGAGGAGCGAATGGTCGCCGTCAGAGAGCTTACATGCAATGCGATAATAATACCCGGTGGTAAATGAACAGCCTGGCATCCGAGGCGGACGCGGGTAACCCTAACCGTCTCGCTTGGCCGTCTCGACGGCTTCACGAGACGGCCGTCGTGTCTCTCGGAAAGGCACAAAGAAAGAGGAAACGAGACATTTAAGGTAATCATATGCAAACAGCCGTGAAATAAAGCCAATTATATAAAATAAGAGAAATTGCGTTTATTTTAGCGACGAGAGGCGACACGTTAGGAGAAGGGGACAGAGAGAAAGATCGCGTTGGTAAGGCACTTGGGTGAAATCCCTAAGCTCGGCAGTTTCTAGGCGATTAATTTAATTAATTAATTAATTTAGAGCCTGGACCAGGTCGTGCACCGCTAATCGCATATCTCGCGCGAAACGTTTCGGTTTTAATATCGGCGAATAGTATTAACAATTGGTATTATTTTGACACTTTTAAGGATAATTTACACCTACTTAGCTGATCTATACACCTACATGGACTAGCAATAACCTACTTTGATGACATTACATTTTTTACTCCTCCCTTAAATGTTTAATTCTCCAAATCCACTTTAGCTCCTACTTAAAAGGACCTGCTAAATTGGCAAACGTAGAAATTTCCGACACTATCAGTTTTTAAGTGGGAGTAAATTTTGTACTTGCAGTTCGAGCTCTTTTACCGTCCCTCTATAGAATAGAGTTAAAGGTTCAGCATGGGGCCAAAATTTCGACTCGGGTAATGTTTCCTAATTGACGGATGATACGAGAATCCTTCCGATCCGTTTAGTTTCCGAAATTCGCTCGATTTCGCCGTCCGTCTCTCGTCCGCGTTTCGCGAATGGTATAATACGAGAGACGAGGCGCAGCGTGCATTTCCGATCTTTCCGGCATCGAGTTCCGCGTTATTTATTGTCTTATGTAATCGGCGCGCTGCATGCTCGCGTACGTCACGGCAGCAAATTTCCCGCAGCCGGCCGGCGTAATGTTGGAAAGCGGACGGTGCCCGTTAAACACGAAGGTGAAAATTTCCGTGCGCGGCTGGCGTTAGCAATGCCTTTGGTTAAATTTCGCGACTGTTCGCCGTTCGGGTCTTCGGCCGCGCCGTTAAGAAGGTAAGTGCCGGGGTAAACCCTCGTTCAGGGTATTTGCGGATCGACGTTTGCCACCGCGACACGAGTGACTGGTAATTCGCGGTAATGCAGTCCAATTTCCATCGCGTTCAACGACGCGTTAAATGGCATGGTCCGTGCGTTCGATACGATCGCACGGCGGACGCATTCAGCTCTATAAAATGACACGCGCGACGTTTCCGTTGTTGAAAGGTTTCCAGGAGCCTACGCCGATGCCGCGGCATGTGTCTCCAGCTTAAATAGACAGAGACGCCTTATCTCTTCGTACAATTAACAGTTTTATCGATCAGATAAGACACGTTGCGAAGTGATAAGCTCGTTAATGCTAATAGCAGTCCCTGATAGTCGCTCGCGTGGCAGACTCTCGAAGAAGGTTGTTTGCGCGGTCAGCGAGTCATTTCAGGTTTCCCCGTCTGTTTCGTCATAAAACTAAGCAACAATGTAATAAGATATAAACCCGAAGGAAGGAGGATTAACATTCGCGAAAGTGGAGCACGAGCTGGGTTGCAACGCGCGCGTAGCGCTGCAGCGCCGTTGCGCACGTGCAACGAACGGGGATTGCATTATGTATAAACGGAGCAGGCTCTCTCGGCGTAGTTCTCCATTAAAAATATTATTCCCCGCGCCCTTCCTCGTGCGAGGTTCGATCCCGCGGGCGTATCGAAAGTAAAGATACACCTCGTTAAATCGGAGACCCCGCTTCTAATTAATTTTTATATTTAATAAACGCCGAGCGAGTGATTACGTAAGCGAAAGATTATCTCCTAACTGTTGCCGCGGACGATAAATTACTCTCTCGTATAATGTATACATATAGTTGTACACTTGGCGCTTGGGAGAAAACGCTGAATTATATTTATTTTCATAAATCTCTCTTTTGCCCAGCGTCTCATATAAACGCGTGACTTGTGCTTCAGTATTTTCTTTTTATTGATGTTTCTATTATTTGTCTGTTTATATATATTGAACGAATGAGAGAATTTTCTATATGGAGAAGGGGCCGGTATTCTTGGCCCGTTCTCCTTTCGAGATCATCTAACGTCTCGAAATGTTAATGCAGTCGCTCAGCGACTGCACACCTAGAAAATATAATAGTTTCTTTGAATTTCGACCTTGTCAGACTTTCGTTTAATTTCAAAGAGATGATTTCTTCACCTTAGCCAACGTTTTATTCGACTGAGACCGGAAGCTCTGAGAGAACTCACGTCTATTTCTTCAAATCCAGCGAAGTGTTTTAACAAAAGCGAGCGAGAGCTTGGTGTAGATTCAAAGAAACGTGCTTACGACGTGTCTCACTTGTTTAGCTTAAACAAATCCTTTCCCGGGCGATGTTTACAACACAACTTGCGACGATCTCAAAAACGGGCTACGAATATCGTCCTGAGTATACGTCACTTAGTTTCTTGAAGCGATAATTCGAATGTGCGAAACGAACGAGATTGCTTTCGACAATGTGTGTACTCACTTCCAATTTGGCGGAGTACTCCTCGGCCAAGGCCTCGGCCTGCTTCGTCAACTCCTGATTCCTCTCGAGGAGAGCCTTGCCGAGCTCGGCCGCCAGGACGAGGTCCCTCTCGCGCTGCTTCAGCAGCTCGGCGGGGTCCTGCGCGAGGTCCTCGTGGTCCAGCGAGTGCCTCCTCGCCTGGAGATCCGATATCATGTCTTCGAGAGCGTACGGCTCCGTCTGACTGTCTTTCTTCGGCAGCATCGCGAATTATTTGCGTTCCTTCCACGGCGCGGCACGGCGGAACGTCGCTTGTGCACCGATTCGCGGCGGGAACTCGCGATTCTCGATCGATGTACGACGAGGGAGGAGGAAACCGCGTCAGGTGGGCACAACAACACGTCAGGTGTATTCGACACGGACGGCGGGCGCAGCGCGATAATGCCGGTGACGTCTCGTCACGATCGGTTCTCCACCGTGGATGTCGCACGCTCGTGCGTGGGCAGCGTCAAATTATCGGGCGCCATTGATTAGCTGAAATCAATCGATTACAGATTTTCACTTTCGTTGCGACTGAAGCGCCGCGCAGGCGATACGACGTTAGAATTGCTCGGCGAAATTAAACGAAATTAAATCCGATGGATTAGACCCGACCTGAGGTGTGTACACGCCTCATATATTTATTGCTCCCATGTAATTCCCTGCTCCCAATTTATTATTATACAGTCACAAATTTTGTTTTCTTCAATTTTGTATTGGATCTGATGGAAGCTTCGGCGCACGACGAAGAAACAATTTCTTTCAGAAAAGTACCGGCAGGTTATCGCGTTAACGATAAGACGCTACAAAAACGAAATACGTATTGTACGTTGCTGTAACAATAAGATATCCTTTCGCCGCAATCAAGTGTCCGTACAAATCTCTATAAAAAGCAATTTATCCGACCGTAAATGAATCTTATCTACATCATTGCTCAGGTATATTTCTTCATCCGCAGAAATCTCGACTTCTTTTGCTTTTTACGCAGCGGCGTCTCGAAGCCCAGAGTTCTACAGTGAATCATCAGCTGTACATATACTCGCTTTCAAGAGATTTCAGATAAAACAATCTCTTTCCTTTCAAGCCTTTATCGGAAACGTGAGAAAATATACGCGAGCAAATGTTTGTAATCGATAGCCTGTGCATTTTTCTCCTTTTCTAAACGCCTGTGTCCACGACGCTAGAACTTGGTTCTAGTTTCGAGAAATGTGTAGCCAATCCACCTGCAGCTATTCCATAAAAGTTACAAGTTGATTGGCTAGACATTTCTCGGAACTGCAACTTGGACCAAGTTCTAGCACCGTGGACGCAGACCTTAACGCGGCCATCGCGGCGTACGAGTGTCCGTCGGAAGGAAAGGAACAATATAGATTCGTTTGTACGCCGTATTTTGGCTACTTGAACGGAAACCAAGTCCACGCGTGTTTAGCAATCAACTCCCAACTTAATTTCCGTAAAATGAGAATATTGTACACGTTTATCCTTTTCTGCTTCTTTCGAGATTCGTTCCGCGTTGCAGGAAGAGACCTTGAGGAGCTCGGCGTCTCGAGAGGCCGTACAACCTGTTTCGCTCGAGGAGGAACCGCGCGCGACCCAAAAGCGGCCGGGCCTTGAAGATTCAACAGCCGCCGGCTGTGACGCACTCACCTCTCAGCTCTCGCGTGATCGCGAACGCCGCCGGTCCGTCCCTCGGGCTGCTCTTCCAGGCGCGTCGGGCTACCGGAAGCGGCCGGTCGCCCTGGCGTTGCGCTCGACGTAATCGCGCGGGCGCGCCGATCGCGCCGCCGTTGTCATCAACAGCCCCATCGTCGTCGACGAGGACGGCGACGTTCTCGTTGCGCAACGGGTGCAACGCACCGGTGTGCAACCTCTCCCCGGGGATATCGATCGCGGAAGCGTACGTCCGCGCTATCGATCGACCGGCTATCACCTGGACGGTTTCTTACGCCTCCCGCCGCCCCGCGGCTCGGTCTCGTGCACTCCGGCCCCGGAGGGAGACGGGCTCGAGGATCGTCGCCGATCTTTCCTTGTTCGTAGCAAGGCCACTCGGATGGAAAGTCCAATTGCGACACCGCTCGGGCACGTCCGGTTACGAATTCACTCGCGGCTTCGATCCCGAGGATGATCGATGGCTCTCGACGAGCGCCGCGCCGTCACGTCGGCGATGGACCGCGTGAATCACGGCGCAACGATACTCCGCGGTTCTCCATTTATCCGCGCGAATAACATTCGCTTGAACCCGGCCGAAGGATCGCGGGGAAGATCGACGGCTCTCAGGCAGCCGCGCCGTTTATTTCGGAGCAGCCAGGCGGAGACCTTCCGCGTCGGGGTCGCAGTTCACGAGAGTCTCTCGGCGTGCGTTTCATCTCGCAGCCGCCTCTGCAAGAAAATGAAGAGAAGCTCGGTTTTAGTCTCCCGCAGTCGTCACTCGAATGAAAATAATGATCATTTCCACGGCGCACACGTTCCCGATCGCGGCGTAGTACATTAACATTTTTTTCAGGAGCGGCATCCTGACGTTTCTACGGATGATTCCTCGCTAGTGCGTGACGCAACGCGTTATTTTCGATTAATAAGTCACCCGCGAGAGGCACCCGCCGTGTTTTGCGAACAGACGGGAATCATCCCGAGTCGAAACTTTGGTATTATTTTGACACTTTTAAGGATAGTTTACACCTACTTAACTGATCTATACACTTACATAGACCGGCAATAACCTACTTTGATGACTTTCTACTTTTTTACTCCTCCCTTGAATCTTTAATTCTCAAAATTTACTTGAGCTCCTACTTTAAAGACCTACTTTAATGTTAAATTGGCAAATGTAGAAATTTTACTATCAGTTTTAAAGTAGGAGTAAATCTTGTACTTGAAGTTCGACCTCTTTTACTGTCTTAGGTCCTACCATATAATAGAATTAAAGATTGAACATAGGACCAGAATTTCGACCCAGGTCTCAATCTCCCGAGTCGAAATTTTAGTGCTATTTTGAGACTTTTAAGAATAACTTACACCTACTTAGCTGATCTAAACACAGACCAGCAATAAACTACTTTGATGACTTTCTATTTTTTTACTCCTCCCTTGAATCTTTAATTCTCAAAATTTACTTGAGCTCCTACTTTAAAGACCTACTTTAATGTTAAATTGGCAAATGTAGAAATTTTACTATCAGTTTTAAAGTAGGAGTAAATCTTGTACTTGAAGTTCGACCTCTTTTACTGTCTTAGGTCCTACCATATAATAGAATTAAAGGTTCAACATAGGACCAGAATTTCGACTGGGGATTAGCTGCGTTCGGCGGAAAGGGCTGCTTTGCAACTGTTGTAACATTCGTGAATTCGATTGGAGTATGCTCCTAGATTCAGCCGTAATTGAAAGCACACGCCATGGAAAGCGACTTTTTCCGCTGAACGCGGCCATTCGTTTCGCGCAAACGAGTCGCGGTCACTCGATCGCGCGACTCGAAATTTTGAGACACCGCGAGGTGCCCGTCCGGACTTTCAGGTCGCTCTCGATCCGCCCGGGAAGAGGCAGCGCGTGGGCGGATTTAATCGCGCTGATTTCGCGTGTTCGGCACGCGGGCGCGCGAAAAATCGGCCCCGCGCGAATCGACTGGCGGCGGGCGTGGGTGGAGAACGCGTCGCGCGCGCGATAGAGTCGCAATTGCGTCGCATTATCCTTGAGCGGCGATAAAATATGACGGCGACCGACGGTCACGGACGGCACGTGCGACGGTTCACGTTTTTATCGATTCGCAAGTACGTCCGTCGTCTTCGACCCTCGCGGATGAATCCGATAAAGAGGACGCGGATCCAGGCCGCCCCGACGACGCTCATCGAATTTGATTGACGGTCGCGAGGAAACGACCACGAGCAACCCTCGGCGGTCTCCGTTTGCCCTACGCCAATTAGGGCCAGTTTCACAAACGTCGCTTAATCAGACTTCAGTCAAGTCCCTATCTTTTTCTGTCTAAGGTCTAGTTTCACAAACATCGGTTAACTGCTAACCGAAGGTTAATTGATTCTCTTCTTAAATAATAAGATGGAAAAGGATAGGGAGTCGACTGAACCCTAGTTAACAGTTAACCGATGGTCTGTGAAACTGGCCCTTAGGCTTCACCCGGTTTCAGCGAACGTCGCTTAACATTAGTCTTAGTTTAATTCGTGCCTGTCTCTCTTCTAAAGTAACAGTTGGACAAAGAACGAATTAAGCTAGGCTTAAAGTTAAGCGACGTTGGTGAAACCAGACCTTATTATCTAAGAAGAGACAGAGAATCGATTGACCTACGGTTAGCAGTTGACCGACGTTCGTGAAACTGGCCCTTGGTAAAATGACCCGCGTGAACCACCCGGTTCCCTAATTCTCGCGAGACGAGGGGAAGCTACGTAGGTGCTCCCTGACGGACAGAAGTCCTGGTTGCAGCACTTTTTTTTCTCAATGAGCCTAGGAACTCGAGAAATAGATCGGAAACGCTGAAAATGGTTTCGGCCGTCGAGTGAAACGCCCCTCGGAGAAGAAGATTTTGGGACGTAACCCTCGATCTAGGTGCACGTGCCTAAACTCATTAAAGAAAAAGTGTCACAACCATTCCGTCCGTCGCTGTACACGTTTTCTTCCCCCGTTCCGCTTTCGACAAGTACTCGGCGGCGTCGCGGTAAATATTTATGGCGCGATAAATATTTATGATTTCTTTCTTGAAAATTGAAAGAGGAACGTGCACTGTTCACGACACACGCACACACATGTACACACGCGCACACGCGTGCACCTTCACCTTTTTGCGAAACGCGCGCGCGCGCCAGGATGTGGGAGAGCGGTCACGAGTCCCGCGCACGAACTACCTGCTCGTCGTGGCACGGTCGGCCAGGTAGTGAGTCACTAGCCGTGAGTGGAAAATAAATATTACGGAATCGCACGGCGTGCTCCGCGAGAGCGACCAGCCACGGCTCTCCCACCATGTTGCGCGGTTGAAAGTAATTCGTTCGGCTCGACGCACCCGCTCGCGGCTCGGCCGCCTCTTTGTGGCGACTCGCGCCAGGATGAATCGGCGACAATTTGCATCTTGCCGAGGGAGACGAGTCGGAAAAATGCGGGACCGATAAAAAAAATGACAACGCCGCGAGAGAGAGAGAAAGGAATCGGCCATTAAAAATCCGCCCGTGCCGTCGAGTTAAGCAAATCCCCCGGCTGTAGCTTCGCGTATGTTCGCGAACGGTATTCGAGTCCGATAAAGTTGAATGGGACAAACTTAAGTGTAGGGTAGAGCGAGGCTGTTTCGCTCATTGTCAGTTGAAGATAAAAACGGAGGTGAAAAATATTTTCAGACAACCCGAGTCGAAATTTTGGCCCTACGTTGATTTGCCAATTTAGCATTAAAGTAGATCCTTAAAGTAGGAGCTAAAGTAAATTTGGAGAATTAAAGATTCAAAGGAGGAATAAAGAAATGTAATGTCATCAAAGTATGTTATTGCTGGTCTATGTAGGAGTATAGATCAGCTAAGTAGGTGTAAATTATCCTTAAAAGTGTCTAAATAGTACCAAGATTTCGACTCGGGAGATCGGGACCCAAGTCAAAATTTTGGCCGTACCTTGAACCTTTAATTCAATTATGTAGTAGGACCTAAGACAGTAAAAAGAGCTCGAACTGCAAGTAGAAAATTTACTCCTACTTTAAAACTGATAGTGAAATTTCTACATTTGCCAATTTAACATTGAAGTAGGTCGTTAAAGTAGGAGCTAAAGTAAATTTTGAGAATTAAAGATTCAAGGGGAGAGTAAAAATATAATGTCATCAAAGTACATTATTGCTGGTCTATGTATAGATCAGCTAAGTAGGAGTAAATTATCCTTAAAAGTGTCAAAATAGAACCAAAATTTCGACTCGGGGAAACTGCCAAAAAATCCTTCCTTGCACGAATCGCATGGCCCCTGCCCTGGGAGCTTCTCATCCGAATTTTTCTTCAACTGGGCGAAAAAGCCCCGTTTCACCCCACCCTCTCGTAGACGCAGACGCGAAAATAATTACCGTTGCAGCGAGGCAGGGTAATCCACCCTTCCTATGCAGTTCGGGCGGAGTAGCGGCGCGTAATCAGCCGCGATGTCACCGTGATCTTATCGCAACTCACAGCAATTGTATCCTCCAACGGAGCGTCCTCCGCGCCGCACGCTCTCCGACAATCACCGCTCCGCGGTATCGATCGAAGCGTACCCGAGCGAGCGCCGAAATCGCCGCGGAGCCGAGGCCGAGGAACGGCGAGGACGCCGAACGTGCGGACGCGAATTTCAACGCGCGAGGAGGTCCTCGCGTTAGAATCAGAAAACGGGGAGATGCCACACAAGAGAGAGAGAAGAGGCTCGACGCGCGACGGTCGGTCAGAACCCGAGAGGTTCCGCGCGTTCGTTGGCCGCGCGCGCGGCGGGTAGAACCGATCGACCTGGCGACCTTCCCCTCCGGAGGTGAACTAACGTCTCCCCCGTCTGCGTCGGCGAGCGTGTATCCCCACCACTTGACCCACCTGGTCGAACCACCACCTGACTGAGTCCCACCGAATAATCCGTGGAGCGCCCAACGCGCGCCCATGAGGTTCTCAACGAGACGGGAAGAGCGGACCCTGATAACGATCCTTGCGCGCAAATTTTGCCTTGCTTGAGCTTCGCCCGTAAGGGCAAAGAGCAGAGTGGCCGTCTCGTACCCTTCCTTGCCGGAAATCATTCCACGAAATTCTGCAAAAAGAAATAAAATATACTACAAACTAAAATATAACTGCCAGAATCTAAGAAATTCTACGTAAATTTAAAAAGTGTTGTAAAAGTCGACATGAAAATGCTACAACTGGAACACTCCTGTTAATTTTTGTAATATTTTACAAGTAAGCAGACGTTTTAGTTCTTTGGGATTTTGTTGTTTCTCGACACCCGAGCGAGGAAACGCGTGGCGAACATCTGTTTCCTGGGCAGATGAAGGACGTAAAAATAGGGAAGCGCTGAGACTTGGCATGCAATTTTAGGAGTCGCGCGTCGTCGCGTGATATTCGATTTATTTCATTACGAGAATGCAAAATGGTTGCACCGTCTGGTGTTTCGCGCCGAGTTCTTTCTGTGGCTACTTGTAGGAAACGATTACCATTAACGAGAGAGGCGGATCGAGTTCCGCGTGCTATGCTGCGGAGGACCGCCTCGTCCACCTGTTCTTCCTACTTATCATCCCGCAAATAATGCGGTATAAAGGGAAGCTGGATTTATTCTTTAGCTCAAAATCGAAAGACTTATCGCCAGGAAATTGACAATTCGTCAAGCCAGTACGCTCGAGCAATGTATGGAGATAGAATGCCAGCAACTGAATGCTCTAGCCCTTCGCCAGGAATATGATTACCTGGGAAGCTGGTGAGAAGCTTGAAATACTCGAAGATATCTATATTTTGGATTAAAATGGAAAAACTTGAATGTTTTGTTCTATTTCGAAACTATCTTTAAGCGCTGCATCATTTATGTCGTAAACGACTGAGTCACGTTAGGGATCAAAGGATAAAGGTGTTCCGAGGAAGACAGCTAGACGAAGACGTGGTCTCTTTCGACAACAGATTTGGAAAGAAGCAGTTTTATCGCGTTAATTGAATGGACATTGTATGGCGTGCTTTATTAAATTTCTACCATAACGTTACGTCGCTGGGCTCATTGCTTAGCAACCGGAGGTAACAACAGAAGCGGCTATAGCAGTTTATAGCATGTTACTTACGTTACGGCCTTACAGCTGCCTCTGTTGCGCGGGGTGGCAGATGTCTCTCTCAAATGTCGGCGTCCAACGTCATCGGGGGATCGCGACTGGAGTACGATCCCCACCCCTACATGGATCTTCGTGACCGACGTCTTCCGGGAAACTGACGGCTTTTTCTCCCTTCCTTCTACCTGTCTCCTATAAATTGATCGCAACAAGAAAGTAAGTAGGCGACGTAATAATCTTTGGAACGCTGAGACAATTGTCAGCGATATTAATTAATTTTATTGTCCAGGGACAAGCTTGGCAAAGACGGGACTCCGAGATGGCGTACAAGCAGCAACCGGTCCAGGACGAGCTGGAGCTGGAGACGATGGCGGAGGCCGAGCTCTCGAGGCTGAAGAGGCAATACAGGATAATGGAGAACGATCGGGCGGCGTGCGCGGAGGACGCGAGGCTGCAGCTCCGCAACCAGCGGAACGCGATCGACCGTCTGGAATACGAAAAGGCCGAGCTCGTGCTGGAGATTAAGACCGCACGATCGAAGGCATTCACACGCAGGGACATGGAGATGGACCGGAAGCTGAAGTGCCTGCTGGCGAGGCGCGCCAAGTACACCGAGCTAATAGAGAACGAGAAGCAACAGATAGCCGAGCTTGACGAGCAGATCAACAAGGTTGCTGGTATTGCTAATGTCGAGTCTATGTAGATCTGTATAAGCCGTCAGCAAATAAGGGAAAGGAAGGTAAAACGTAACGTTAGATAGCACATCCTCCCACATATCTATTACGTTCTGCCCTCCTCTCCTCTATTTACTCGCTTCTAAATAGTTTACGCTTAAGAGTGCTTCGTTTTACCTACAGTTTTGCCCGCCTTTTCCCTAATCCAGTTAAAATCAGTAATCCGGTTGACCCAAATACCGATTCGTAGATGTAAGAAAAACAGGACGGGGCGTTTGATGCTACAAGCAACGTTGTTTCGCGGTGATCGATAATGAATGAAAGCGTCGCGACTCGCCGCGGCGAGAGATCGGATCGTCTTCTAAAGCGCCTATTGACGAGGAGAAATATCACTTTCGTCCCGCGGCATCACGTTTGCGACATGAAGGAATGTTGTTGCAGCTTTCGAAGGATGTCGCGGGCATGAAGATGAAAGTACGCACCGACGTGCAGTCGCGGGAGATAGCGGCGCAGCACACGAAGACGATACTCATGCTGGAGAACCGGGTGGAGGTGGCGACCAAGAGGTTCAACCTGGTGATAGCGGAGAACGCGAGGCTGCGCGCCGAGATCGAGACCCTGCTGAAGGAGCGGACGCAGTTCACGCAGGTGTGGGGCAAGCTGATCGGGCAATTGAACACGGGCAAGCAGATCATCAACGATCTGATCGAGCAGGCGACGGTCACGTTCAATCAACGGGACGAGGAGCTCAACAAGATCCAGGCGCTTCGCGAGAGGTGGGATGCAACACGGATTTTCCGCGTCGTTGATCGGTGTCGTACCGTGAAACGTGGTCGACGCGAGCGTACGATAGACACCGGCGATTTACGACGACGTCGCCGTCGCCGATTGACGATCACTCGCGGAGCCGCGAAAGTGGAAACCTTCGTCAGATCGCTGTCCCCGTAAACCATATGATTTTGTTGCCAGCTAAGGCGAGATCCACTCGCCATTCGGCCTGAAACGAATGCCCGATGTCGCCGTTGTCTTTGAATTAGAAACTCGGAGAGCAACGATCGGCGGAGCCAGTGGCGCATGGAATTTCCGCCGCTCGCGCTTTTCGTCCGATGCCGTAACGGTTTCTCGATATTCATTCAGTCGCGGTGTAAATTTTGCGTAATTTTCTGCCGAGCAGAGAGGAAAATTCCAGTGAGCTGAACCGTAACGAGAAGGCGTCTGTTCGCAGGGGTATAAGGGACCTGAAGAACCACACGTCGGAGATGTGCGAGTTGCAACGAACTCTGGACAACGAGATGAAGCTGCAGGAGTTTCTGGGCGTGAAGGGACAGTTCCGTGAGATGGTCGACCTGAACGCGAAGAGGGAGGCCGAGAGGCAGGCCAAGCGGGAGGAGAAGCAAAACAAGATAGCGGCCTTCACGCAAATCTTGCAGACGATCAGGCAATTCACCGGTACCGTAAACCAGGCTCTTGTTTAGAATAATCATTCTGAGACGCGTTCTTCCTCCGTAAAGTGTTCTCGCATTTTCTCACGGAACACTTAAGCTTGCTCCAGTTTTGTACGTGTGATACAACTGAAGATGCAGATGCGTCTTGACGCTTTTATTAGTCATCTAAACTTTATATCCGATAGTTCACGCTATTACGTTAAAAATCCCGGCTTCAATTAATGTGAATGTAAATAAACAGGCGAGCAAGAGATCGACAAGCTCACCGCGCACTTCATCAAGCAAGAGGAGGAGAATTTCGCACTCTTCAGCTACGTCAACGAGTTGAACGACGAGTTGGAGAGTCTTCAAGCGAGAATGGAACAGCTGTCGGTGGCCATCGACGAGGCGCGTGCCCTGAATGTGCATCGCGACCAGCAGCAGGCTGAGACATTGGAAAAGATCGGCAAGGAATTGGAGGAACAGACAGCGTTAGCGGACGCTGCCGAAGAGGATCTCGCTGAGGTTAATGAAAGAACGGTCTAAAACTTTGCTCGTATTTTCGCGATCATCGTTGAATAATAACAAGATGCCACTCTTTAAGTCGCGCCTTTCAAGGATTATCTCATTCTCGGACATTGTCCTTGATCTTAATAAAACGAATTTATAGCTTCGATATCCGCACGGCGACTCGGCAAACCGCAGCCCGAATGCGCAACGATCGATTACTCATGCTTTATTTCAGTGCAACGACGCGATGGATAAGCTGCTGCGGGGGATCGACGGCCTCTTCAAGGCGATACATTGCGACAACTCGCCGATTTTAGAATTGCTGGGCGACAACACCCACGTTACCATGAGCAACGTCATGCTCTACTTGGGCATTATCGAGAAACGTATCACCGAGATGTTCCACAAGGTTTACTGGGTGGACAAGGAGAGCAAAGTTCCGCAGCTGCGACTGGACGAAGAGAGGAAGCCCCGGCTGAAAGTGCCCGTTCTCACTCGCATCGTACCCACCCAACCCTGTGTCCTGTGAGCACCCATTTTATTCTATCGCGTTCCTTTATCCCGCCCTTGAATCCGCATCCTTCCGGTCTATCGACGAGTATCCTCGAGACTTTCCAACATTTAATCTTGAACGTGACGGCCTAATTTCCGTTTGATACTTAAAATAGTTGAGCTCTTTTCCTATCAAGACGGAGAATTAGAAACAGATTCACAGTGAATACAGTACTTAGTTAGTAGATACTTAATCAATATACCAGTGGAAAGATTTTATTAATCGGCGCTAAACACACGTCGAGCACATCCGCGTGTCAACTCCATCTGACCACTTTCACGTCCCGCCGTGCAGCTGCGTGGAACAAGAGCAGATGCAGTTCGTCTCGGAGGGCCTGGAGGTGCCGCTGACACGTGCCGAAGCCATGCAGAAGCTGCGACAGAGGCTCATGGAGGATTACTCGGAGCTGCTTCACAACGTGTCCGCCTGTCACTTACCGGCGGCTAGAAAGATTATGCAAAGACGTTATCAATAAAGGGAATTAACGAAGCGTATTTTCTTCGCGGATTTGCGACGTGACCTTTTGCATCGTGACGACGTTCGCGTGAAAGCTCACGAGGATTCAGTCCACGAGGGGTAGCAGATCGTTGCGAGCGCGACCGCGACACAAATAATAATAATTCTGTATATCGAGTTTTTGAATTGTAACGATTTACTTAAATCCATTTTGAGATATATGTATATAGATTTTACACAAACATCAGCGATGTCATTTTACCAAGCGTTTCATTAATTTACTTGGCCATCGCTCATCCGCCGGCTTTGCGACATCGCTTAATCGCAATCAGTCGCGGTAATGGGATGATAGATACCTCTAGTCGCGATGCGACAAGCCTTTCTCTTCCCGCACCTTCTTCTTGACGGTCTTGATAATTCGCTTCAATTCGAGGATGGTGCGCTTGATGTGGATCAGCTGTTGCTCGACGTCCTCGCTGGCCACCTTGACGGGTATCTCTTTCCTTTTGCAAATCTGCTGATAGATGTTCCAGCAGCACGCCTTCACTTGCGTAAGCTCCAAGTTCTTCGCAGCGGCGGTCTCCTTTATCTTCGATACGATCGTCTCCCATTTCAATGCCTGCGCTTTCGCCTGATCGTACCTCGCTTGCAATTGGGCCAATTTATTATTCAAGCCCATCAATACTTGCGTCTTGACTTCCGTCAAGTGATGCTGCACGTAAAAAAATATCTCTATAACGCACACTCGGCTTTCCAATCTCTTTTTCATTTATTTATTTTACTTTTTAAGGAGAGGGGAGGGGGAATACCATGTGAAAGCCAAGAGATATTAAACTCGTAAAAAATATTCATACGATTGAAAACTTGATTCAAAGTCAAAGAATGGTAGACGCGAGATAGACACGGACAAAAAGCGTCATGAAGAAAACAAAGAGAAATCTCTCAAAAAGTTTTCGTCGCTGTTGAATTGTGCTAATTCCAGTTAATCATTAAAATATTTATAATCAATAAGGCAATTAAATTGAATAATTAAAAAAAAAGATGATAAGAATTTACAGGACCACGATGATTCGAGATACGTAAGATAGTTCGAACAATACTATTTCTGTTCCTTTGTCTTCGAGCATCTGAAGGTTCCTGTCTTGATGATCAGACAACGCTTGCCTGGCCTCGACTAAAGTTTCGTAGCGATTAAAAATTTCATTGATCGACTGAAACTCGCCCGTCTCGTTCACGACCCTGTCCAAGTAATTTTGGTACTTCCTGTATTCCCCTACGTTTCGCTGCATTTTATCGCGCGTGTCTCTCATGCAGCGCAATTTCTGCTCCAATTCCTCGATCTAATAAAAAGATTAAAAAGGCAACATCAGTCACGATCGATATATAAATCCTTTTTTTTTTCTGAAAATGAAGCCGCGAGACTCGGAGCTCCTAGCATTTCATTCCCTTTATCGACTACGTACTTCTAGCTTGCATTTCTCCTGGCGCTCGTGCTCCTCTTTGATCTTCTGCTCGGCTCGCTCGCGCTTCTCGACGTTCTCCTTCACGAGCGTATTAAACTTTACGAGAGATTGCCGCAACTGCAATTGCTCCTCTCTCGCGTCCTCCCACTGCTCGTCCACGCATTTACGTTTTATCTTCTGTTCCGCTCGTTTCTCCTTTAATATCTCTTCGACCTCGGCTAATTCTCGACGAGCCCTGATCACCTCTGTCGCCGGGCAAACCCTCGCTCTGTCCCACTCTGGATATTTTCTAACATCGTTTTGTAAATACAATGACGAGAATATAATTTACAATAAATAACCAGGCACATTACAATTATTTTGAAACGTATTAAAGATATAAATTCTACCGTTGTTAAAAATAAAACAAATGCGAGAGTACGTAATTCTATTGTGCCGTCCGCTTCGGATTTTTTTCTCGATTGTCGCAACGAATCCTATTTGGCGCATCTTTATTTTTACGTTTCCTTACATGTCCTCCGATTACTTTTTAACGCGCGAGCCCTCGGTACGTCAAGAACAATCAAGAATACTTCATCGCAGCATTTACAACAGCATTTTCTAATTTTGTTACTTGATAGTCTGACGTTCCTCTTGCTTGGATATAAAGTACTCCGCAACTGCTCTCTGCGAATCGGTCGGGATAACAGCTCTATGCACGAGCTCTCTCGATTCGTCTCGCGCCGCGGCCATTTCTTTCCCTTTCCGAGAAATGTCTTTTCAATAATCGCAATTTTCAACGCGAACGCAAATATCAACGTTGAGAGAAAGAGTGTGTTATATGCTAGAAAAAAAAATGTCAAAGAAGGAAGCACATGTATCTGCCATGCACGACTAATCGACCAAACAAAGTGAATGCAGTCACGCGCGCGCACACACATACACACGAGCGCAAGAGAGAAAGAGAGAAACTAAGAACACGTGGCGGGCGCGTAGTGGGAGGGGAAAGTCGACGGCAGGGGAGGCATTGTTGAAAATAACGAACCGAGTTTTATTCATATCGTACACTTTATACAAGAGCCTATAATGACCTTATTAAAAAAAAAATGCATGGCTATATTAGCATATATCGCGCGAGTTTAAGAGGGACGAGGGGAGGGAGAGGGGGAGGGAGGCGAGATACGGGCTGGCGAGAATGATAAAAGTATATGCGCTTCACGAGTGGACTTCCTGGCCGAGCAGAGAAAGTTGCTTGAGCAATTGCTTGGCGTTGATGAAGGTCGTGGAGCCGTAGATGACTCGTTTGTTCACCCCGGCTCCGCTTCGTTGCCTCACATAGTCCACCAGGTTCTGGTACTCAATGTAATTGCCGCCGCCGACGACGAAAACTATCACGTCCTGGAACGTCGGCCGGTTCTTGGGCATCTGCTCGGTGTGCTTGAGCTGCTTCGGGTCCAAGTAGAGGTAGTCCTCGGTACGCGAGGACTGCTTGGACTCCATGAGCTCGTCCACTATCTTGGTGACGGGCAGATTGTGCTTCTTGACCACCAGATTCTTGACGCCCTCCATGACGAACGACGAGCCCTGATTCATCAGCTTGGAGAACATGCTGACCGTCTTGGTGCCGCCGCCCTCGTAGCTGCTCTGGATCTCGGCTATCCTGGTGTAGTTACGGAGTCGCTTTACGTATACCAGCGGGTTCAGGTCGCAGCCGGCCGCGGTCAGCGCCGTCTCCAGCCTGCCGTAGTCCGCGTCGGACATGTTGGTGCAAATGAAATAAATAATGGCGAGGCGCAGCTTGTCCTCGGGGGTGCCGCAGTCCGGGTCGCCGATGGTCTCCAATACGCTCCGGTCGAGCGTCTGCCTGCTCATGATCTTCTCCTCCAGCTCGAAGAACGTGTCGAGCCGCCTGGACTTGATGGCGTTGAGGATACCCGTCGCCACCGACGTGTGCATGTCGATCAGGCGCTTCATCTCCAGGAGCTGCGGCAACGAATTGACGGCGCTCGTCAGCCGCGCCGTATTGTTGGACACCATGGACAAGGCCACCTCGCTGTCGTTGTCGATGCCCATGGTGGACTTGAGTTTCTTGACGTCCTCCTCGAAGGTGCGAAACTGCTCCAGCTCCTCCTGTATGGCCTCCGCCACTCTGGGGAACGGGCTGCCCTTGTGCTGGCACCAGAAGCGATCCCGGTTGTCCATCTCGTAGGCGCGCGTCTTGGAGCGTGTCCCACCGGCGGGGGAACGTCCCACGCTCTCCTCCACGACGAGCCTGTTGAGCGTCATCTCCAGAACGTCGTGCGCCAACGCCTGGTACGTCCACGTGTGGTGCAGCGGCGTGGCCATGTCGACGTTGCGGTCCAGCACGATCAGCAGAGGCCTCTGGAAACTGTAGTGGCCGGCAGCCTCGCCCTCGAACAGGTTGTTCCTCGCGTCCCACACGTTCTCCCGCAGCTTCTTGTCGATCATCTTGGCAACCATCTCGGCGGCGTTGCCCCTGGGACACCTTATTATCGGCACGGTGCCCAGGGTGACGAACACCGAGAACAGACAGTCCACAATGATATCCATCACGGACTCCATCTCGCTGTCCTTGACGTCGCCGCGGTTGATCGCGTGGTAGGATATCACGTCGCTGTTCTGATGTCGCAGGACAAACAGATCGTCCTCCAGGGTGATGAAGTTAAGATACTGATCGAATACCTTGTGGATGCTGGCGACGACGCCGCCGAGCAGCGCCGCGGCCGCCAGGTCCTCCATCCTCTGCCGGCTGATCGGCAAGATGAAGTTGAGGTGGTAGACGTCGTACAGGCCGTTCTGCAGGTCCTGCCCGATCCTGCCGAGGTTCTCGTCCGTCGGCGCGCAGAAGTAGATCGCCGGCACCTCCGGGATGGAGTCGCGGTCCGAGTGCAGCTGCATGTGCAGCGTGATGCCGAGCTCGCGCAGCTCCTTCACCGAGATGAGCGGCGATATGATGTCCTGGCCGAGGCGGTCGTAGACGAGGATCTTCCACGTCGGCACCGCGCCCTCGGCCCGCGGCTCGGGCTGATTCAGATTCAGCATCTGCTTCAGAGCGTTTATCTGACGCTCGCGCAGACTCATCGTCACAGATCTGTCGAGGAACCTAACCTAACCTCGCACGCGACACCAGGAGGGCCGTGCACTCGTACCAGGGAGAGAGAGAGAGAGAGTGGTTTCTCTCTTACCCGCTCGCTGGGCCGACCGGGGGCCGCCAGTCAGGTTGGTCGGCTCGTCACCGCCGCCGCGATCCCTGGGAGACGTCGAGCGCGCACCCGGCGTCGCATACAGGGCGGAGTTCTCAGAAATCTGTCAGTCTAGTCCGGTCTCGTACACCCATCGAGCCGCGAAACTGTAACCTACGAATCCTACGACGGACACGTCAGTGACGTGCACGTCACTATTGACGTTTCTTGCTGGTCGGTACCAGTCGGTACATCGCGTAACGCCACCAATAAAGTAGCGACTTATCTGACCTACCTAAAGCCCGCTGCAGACGATGCTATTTTTCCTGCTGGATTGCTTGCGATTTAGTAAATTACTATCATTGCACCACTCAGCATTCAGGATTCCTAGTAATTTACTAAATTGCAAGCAATCCAGCAGGAAAAATAGCATCGTCTGCAGCGGGCTTTATACCAGTTCTACACCCCGTATAGGGATGAGGCCTACCTGCGGCTCAACCGCCGATGCCCCCTTCTACAGGGTGAATTTTTGGATTCCCGTAGAGGGAGAAGAAAAAAGGGGGCCGAATTTTATTTCGTGTCCCGGTCTTTTTTACCATGAGAGGCGGATTACCGACCGAAACTGCAGCCGAGGCTGCCTTCGCGAGAAGAAGATCAAAGTGATCCAGATAAAAATAACCTTGTGCTGATTGGTCAAATCTGGAATTTTATTGAATAAAATTTCAATGTGACGCTATGAAATTTCAGATTTGACCAATCATAGCACAAGGTCATTTTGGATCATTTTGATCTTCTCGCGAAAGCAGCGCCCAACTCGGGAAAAGAAATGGAAAAACTCTCGTAATATGTGGGCGTTTTCCAGCAAGGACACAGTGTAAAGCTCGCTGCAGACGATGCTATTTTTCCTGCTGGATTGCTTGCGATCTAATAAATTACTATCGTTGCACCATTCAGCACTCAGGATTCCTAGTAATTTAGTAAATCGCAAGCAATCCAGCAGGAAAAATAGCATCGTCTGCAGCGGGCTTAAGAATCGACTATGAATACCGGCCTATACAATCATCTTTAGATACTCCGTAGCCAACGAAATGTTCTATACAGCGTCTTCAGATCAATTCAAGACGTTTGCGAAACTCATCTTCGGAGCTACGACATAAAAGCGAGTTGTTGTTGAACTTAAGAAAATTGTTAGAAACGCCTGGAAAAAGAATTTATCCCATAATCTGGAAATTCTGAAAGAATTTAAATTCTCCGTGCCGTCTGCGCATCCTGGGTGACCAATAGGAGAGTCCGCGTCTAGGAATTTTCCTACGCGTTCTCTGGTGACGCATTTCAGGCATCTAAATTTTCCACCCTCGACGACCAATCATCCGTCGTTGAAACGGAAAACGAAACGCCGATTCGTCACCCAATCACCCGACGACGCGCCTCATCGTTGCAGTGTTGCCCGGCATCGTCCGAGAAGAGAAAGGGTGCGTTCTTTTAGGCATCGGATACAGCAGTTTTTGCAGTAATTCATTCTTTTAGCACGACTGCGCAGTCGACTGCAGGGCAGATTTTCGTTCTTTTAGCAATGGATGCGCAGTGGATACGCAGACGATTAGAATTAGCTGCGCAACCGGCTGCAGAGAGCTGCACAATAAAAAGGGCGGGCAAGTATATAAAATGTGCGATCAAAATATATATTTTTATGTGGGAGAATCGTCGTCAGGTGGAAAACAAATACCGCGCGTTTGAGAATATGAGCGCAAAACTCCGTTCTCTCAAATGAGCTGCGCAGCCGGCAGATCCGATGCGCAGCGGTTGCCAAATCCGATGCCTAAAAGAACGCACCCAAACAGTTAAGCCCGCTGCAGACGATGCTATTTTTCCTGCTGGATTGCTTGCGATTTAGTAAATTACTATCATTGCACCACTCAGCATTCAGGATTCCTAGTAATTTACTAAATTGCAAGCAATCCAGCAGGAAAAATAGCATCGTCTGCAGCGGGCTTTACTCAGGCTGTCCCCGTTCCTGGGCGCACTTCACGGCGTAGAAACGAGTTTACGTGACTCGTCGCACGAGCGATCGCAGCGACACCGTCGCGAATGAGACGCGCCTGACGATTGGCTGCCCCGAGAGCGGCCGACCGCACGCACGACGACGGCGTCCAGTGGGAAGCGTCGTCACGTCCGCGCCTACGTTCCGTCGACAGATGGGCACCGAGGTATGCGCGACGGCCATTTTGCGTAGAGATTCTGGTCGCGTAAGCATTAGTAGTGTAGTGCAACGCGCGTGAGATTTTCCGAGGATCCCGCGGAGGATACGAGCGTCCGCCGTACGGGTCGGGCCTGCTTGCGTCACGCGATGCGCTGAGCAAAGGTAATTGATCGTAAAACGAGCGGTAGAGTAAGAACGACGAGACGCGGGTACGAGAGGACGGCGGGAGGCGCGAGCGAAGGCGGCGGACTCCAGATGCGCGGACGTGGACGTCGCCTCTCGATCTCGGCGCCTCCCGCCGCCTCTCGCCGACGGCGAGTCGGGAGGCGAGCTCGCGCGGTGGACCACCGAGTCCGACAACCCGGATCCCGCGGGTCTCCCGTCGCCTCGCGATCGTCGGAGCGCGAGCGAGAGCGAACGGGTGCGCGAGAGAGGGAGAGACCGCGAATGAAATCGATAAAGTGTTTCTCGCCGCGTACGTGCGACGTGCCGCTGACCCTCGTCGTCCGGATAGCGTTATGTAAACTGCGCGTCGCGAGCCGAGAGCGACGCCCGGGTGCTCGGTCGCGCGGATTCCACCCGCGTCCCTTTAACGGGGCGCATCTGGGCGTATCGTGACGCGTCGCGTCGCGTCGCGTAGCATCGCCTTCGCTTTCTCGTCCCAGATTTCGTCCCGGCACGACCGCAAGAAGGCAGACTTTCCTTTCCCGACGGGACGGCCGTAAAAAGTCACGCCGTTGCTCGACCGTGACGTCGCTGTTTCTCGCCTCCCGAGGGAAACGTCCCTCCGGGTGAATCAGTCCTCGGCGATTCGCGCGTGCCCGGCGAATCATCGCCGTCCTCCGGGCAGTCCGCCTCTTAGGTTGCGCGCGGCGGGACGCGTCCTCCGACCTGCTGCTGATAGGGAAACTTGCTCTCCCTCGGGCACGCGGCTCCCGGGTCTCGTCGGTGAAGAAGCGCTCGTGTGCCGTGTGTTTTACAACAGGTTTTCTGGAAAAGCACGCGGATTTTCACGAGCGAAACAACTGTTATGATGTAATAATCGTCGCGCGTGAAAGCAGAAACGTTTTTAGGATCGAAGATTCGGATCGCTTCCTCTCGATATGCGCACTGATTGATAGTTGACAAAATTTGCGTCACGAAACATTCGGTCAGTTCCTAATTTCAGGAGATTCTTCCCTTCGATAGGTGTAGATTCTCCATCTCGACCGACAATAGTTGCAAAAACTTGCCTCGTTTCTGCCCGATCGCTTTCCCTCGCGAATGCCTACGTTCGGCAGAAAAAGCAGCTGTTGGAGGATTCGTGGATCTGATTGGCGTACGCTCTCGAGTTCACTCAGGATTTAAGCGAATACGCCAGACAACAGTTGCAAAGCGGCTTTTTCTGCCGAACGGCAATCATTGCGTAAACCTCGGTTAAAGGCTACACGCTTGTCGCCGCACACTGTACGCTCCTTTCTTATGTTACAGTCTGATTATACCAGAATACTCCGTTAGGATCTGTCGCGTTCGTCCGTTCGCAGCAGCACCATGTTTGCGTCAAAGTCCCAAGAAGTCGCAGAGGAGTACATCTCGTCTCTGTCCGACCTTACGATCAACAGTAAGCCGCTTATCAACATGCTCACCATGCTGGCCGAAGATAACATCGAACACGCGCCGGCGATAGTGCAAGCCGTCGAGAATCATCTGCAAAAGGTTACCTATCCATCCATAGTTTACACACACCTGAGATACGTTTCTCGAGATTGATAATTTCCCACATTAATGTTAACTCGCGCAAGGCTGCAGACGTTTTTTTTTCTCTCTTTTTGCCTCTCGCGTTTTCCAGTTTCTTTCTATAACAGTTGCAAAGTTGCCGCTCGCGCGCAGACGCGACGAAGGGTGCTCTCGCTGTGCCGTGCACAACAGTCCTGTGATTATTGCCCGTCTCCACCTTGCATCGCGCAATTGGCGAATTATTTATAAAGACATTTTATAAACGATCTGTGATACTTTTGTAACGGATATAATTGATAGGCCTTCTATATTCTATAATTACTCTATGTGCAACAAGCTCTTCTTTCTCCCTTTATACATATACTAAACATAATTAATTATAGAATGTCAGAAGGCGTGTGTAAAGAACTGCAATTTGAGACTGCGTTGTGTGAGAGGCAATATTTTATACGCCAAGGTTTACAGTAGTTATGTTACGTTATGTGTGTCGAAATAGCAAATAAAATATCATCAAAACTTGCTGATGTTGTATCTGTGTTAAATTCCAAATGTGCTACGTACATTTCGCCAATCAAGGTATATATAGATACGTTCGCGTGTCTCAGATAGTTTATATTCTTTATACACTAATAAACGCGTATGTACATACTGTTACACGTTGAGGATTATGTAATGCCTGGATGAATATTGCTACTTTACGATAACATACCCGTACTTGAACGAAACGATGCAGCTTGCCGATTGAGTTCGCCGAGTTTTCGGAGGAATGCAATGGTAGGCGGTGGACATGTGATATATATTTTCTTGGCGCGAAACTTCTCGAAATTATATATCATTTTCCCTTAGCTGTACATCGAGGGGTAAACCGCTGACCAAAATCATGTACACCAATGCCCACTAATGCCCACCGGGCATTACCTTATCTTTATAATTCCCAAAGAATACCTAGAGTGCCCAGTAACACCTGAAATCTACACCACAACGCCCTCAGCGGTCTACCACTCGCCATACATTCTTCAACAGATTTATATATGGACATTTTCCTCATGGAAATTTGATAGGTGGCTATTTCTCATTGCACTTTTACTTGCAGCATTAAATGTACTGGCAACTCGGCCGCAGTTTAAGTATCTGTACGAATAAAATATATTTGCAACTAATTGAAAAATACAACATTTTACTCTGTGCATTACCCTTGCGAAATTATCCTCTTGAGATTCAATACAACAGAGCCTCGAGCTCCCACGTACTTCAAGTACTTTCGTAATTGGGCACCCTATCAAGCTGTTCCAAGGAAAAATGGATGTCAAGTTAAAGGAATACGCAGTTGAAGAGAAATGCAATGAATATCCGGAATGTGCATGTCTACATCAAGATACTTTTTATATCAATTAACGCGCGCGTATAGTAGCTTAAGTAACTCTGTTAAATATAATCCTTATGAAATAATTAGCCCTCGCTACCTCTAGCGTATTGTGCATATTGTGTTGTGTTTCATTAGGTGGGAAGTGACATCAAATTACCGGTACTCTATCTCATCGACTCGATTGTCAAGAATGTGAATGGCGACTATCTGAATCTCTTCACGCAAAACATAGTAAACACATTCTGCGGGGTGTTTGAGAAGGTAAATATCCTTATTGTTTATATAAGATAGTTGATACGGAATACCGCCAGGGACAAGCGCGGCGATTCTTCCTCGCGATCGACGATCCGTCGCTGACCGGGAGTAACCTTTACTTTTTATTCGCACGCAATGAAACAAACCCCCCCCAAGCTCTCACCAAGAGTTTCTGAAAGGAGAATATTTCATAGCGTGTGTAGAGTCGCCCGGCGCTTTATATTTCACGATGATATAAGATAATTGTTTGATCAATATAACATCGCTTACCTCACGACTCTGAAGGTTTCACGGATACCGAGTTTCATGTATCGATTCTTTCTTTCAGTGGGGATATAAATATTCGTACCTCGAATTCTAAGGAAAAATTCTTAATAAGCTTAATAAACGAACCGTACAAAAGAGAGAATTGACGGTATCTTCGGAATTTAACACGATCGGTCTCGCGCTCATGTTCCTCGCGGCTTCTCTTTAGTTGAATGTGGATTGCCAATATCATTTTCATAAACAGGTTGATGAGAACACGAGAGCCAGTATGTGGAAGTTGCGGCAAACGTGGAGTGACGTATTTACACCGCAAAAATTGTTTTCGTTAGACGTACGGGTGCAAAGTATCGATCCTGCATGGCCAATCACTGCCCCATCCGCTAACATCCCTTCAGGATCTATACATGTTAACCCGAGATTTCTCTCGATGGTAAGTTACACAAGTACATACACATAACTGTGCGAGGAAAGCGTATTTGTTACATCACGGTTTGCATACTTAATTTTTTCAGCCTCAACAAGCCGCGACGTCAATTGTTCCGCCTGTTAAAATGCCACCAGGAGAACCGGTAACGACAACGGAAGCAGTCATGCGAGAACAGCTGCTGAAGAAGCAACGAGAATTATTAGAATTGCAAAAGAAGAAAATCGAGTTGGAACTACTGCAGGCTAAGGCGAGTTTAGAGCAACAACAGAGGCAGCTTGACAAACAAGCTGGAAGCTTGAAGACAGAAGTGGTACGAGTTTTGACATAGCTTATAAAGAAATATCAAGACTGTTATGACTTCTTTCCACAATTTCTCGCTTTATTGCCCCAGGCTCTCTTTATATGAATATTTTGTGATGTAATATTTTTCGTTACGACAGGTTGTGTCCATTGCACAGGTGCCAACTACGGAGACAACAACGCAGGTGAAATCTGTAGCTATAGTGCCAAATCAAACTTCAAAGCAAGTAGCAAAACAAGTAAGTAGATATATCACATAATTAAGGAAGCCTGTGGTTCCACAGGCCTGAATATTAGTAGTTACGATTAACAACAATTTTATTTGCTTACAGTTCCCAGCAGCGACAGCGTCGCTTTTAAAGAATGCAGGAGCAAGCAGTGGTCCACGAATCGCACCAGCTAGTAGTATAGCAGTAGCGTCTGCTAAGCCAGTCTCGCGAGATCCACGTTTGAAGCCCATTCCTGCTGTTCAGGATGTGGTAGTGCCAACAAGTCCACGACAACGAACGGGTACGACCAGTCCGAAAGAAGTGCGGAGTGAAGGTCAAACGCAGCAAGTGGCAGCACATACAATTGTAACAGCAAATCTATTAAAACAGCAGATACTTTCGAAATCGGCTGTAACTACCAACAAGCCTCCGGCGAATCCTGCCGGATCCGATAATCCGACGTTATTAAACGTTATTAATAACAATAATGCTGATAATAATAGCAATAATAAAAATTTCAGTAGTAATACAAATAAAGATGCTGTCTCGCATCGAACAAGTCAAAAGAAAGACCCTCGATTAAATAGTAATAGTAGTGGTAACCTAAACAGTAACAACTCCAAGAACAGCCAGAATTTATCGGTTTGCAGTAATAACTCATCTTCAGTATTATCAACGGGCAATCGAGGAAGTGGAGGCAGTGACGTCAACAAGTCGAAAGACTCGAAGAGCTCAAACTCGCGCGGCTCTTCCTCGTCTTTGGCTGACAAGTCTTCCACTTCCTCCAAGTCTTCGCATAGGAAATTAGGTAATAAGTCGCGATCTAAACAGCCTCAGATATGTCAGAGTAAGATTCCGAAAGTCGACAGAGACTCGAGTCCGATTAGGTCAAAATCTCGTGAGAAAGACAGCGGAGACAGTTCACCGTCCTCACGTACCTCTCCACAATCCTTCCAACCCTCTAAAAGCCGCAAGAAGAACACGAAATCGAGAAAGCGTAGTCCAAGTCCTCCGTATAGAATCCCCAGGCGTAACGACGCGAAATCGAGCTCGAGCTTGAACAATTCCGGTGGTGTCACTGAGGAGGAGCAATCTGGTTCGCTGATAGTATCTCCTCCTCATCCACCTGCATTCAAAGAGATCAGGCCGAACGCTAGACAGAGAAATTATGTAAGACGAAATAAAGACGACAGTCTTAGTCCGGAACGTTCTCCAGCCAGTGCTGGAAATACTCAAATCGCTGCCGAGCCAACATTGGAATCTTCTAGCAAAGACGAAGATCTCAGGGCGCCGCTCTCTCTACCCGGAGCCGCTGTTTCCATACCCGAAAAGAGTGAGTCAATAGTGCTTGGCTACATATATCTATATGTAACGATCAGTAACACTGTTCATCAATATACATATATATATATATATATATATATATATACATATACTGTCATCTATATTTCAATTGTGCATGTGAGAGTATAAATTTTCCTGCGTGCTTTCTCTATAGTTACTGTTAAAAATTCTGTCTTGAATATTTTCTCATAAAGGTGACTACAATGTTTGTCTCATCTCTGGTAGCAATTGCAAGACTGTAACAGGTGATATCTTTAAAAAGTAGTATCTTTAACTTATCGTACTAACGTCTCTTGCGCTCGTAATTTTATAATTCCAATTACTCTTGATCAAGTCTCTTAACGTGCATTTCTTCAGGAAGATATTGCCCGAAAATCTAATTCTTCAAAATGCATATTAGGGATATGTAATAAAAAGAAACGGTAATATTAAGTTAATTCCTAATAAATTCGTCTCGCACGAGTTACTCTATCTTGAATTCTTTTCCAGAAGAAGATTTAGATCTACGAGTATTACCATCTGTTAACACTAACAAAAGACGCAGTGAGGAACATGTAGAAGCGAATCCGCCGAAGAAAACCAAGGCTGAGAAATTTGACGCGTATGTATCGTTACGTCAATTACATTAATCTCAGGTGTACAATAAACTGCAAGACTTCCTTTCAATTTTATAGACTATTCGGTAACGAAGACGTGGATTTGCGCACTTTGACGCATCCTAAAGCCGGCCGGCCTCCGACACCTCCACCGCCCGTGATTTCCGGGGAGGATGGAAAAGATAGTTGGGCAAAGTTAAAGACGCCCACGAAGAACGACAGAGATAAGCAAGTTAACAACACCGACGACAAGCGCGAGAGGGACCGTAATAGGGACAGATTAGGACGTCTCAGGTTCTATAACAAGCTCCCGGATGACCCTAAAGAGAGAAGAAGAACGTTATCGAACGAGGAACAGGACGCCAGGCCGGGGCGCAGAGGCCGGGAGAATGACAAGCCCGAGAGAAATGACGATAGAAATATTGAGATTATAATGAAGCAAGCCGCCGAACAGCTGAATCAGGGATCGATCACGAAGACGCAGTACAACACCTTGATACAAGAGGTATTGCACATGAGCGAGGACCGGAAATTGCGAGCGGCGCAGCGTAAAGAAAAGGAGGCTGGCACTGTGATATGGGAGAAGGGTATAAACATGGACATATCCGGTCCAGGGGATCGCGCCACGACATTCAGCCCGTCTAACGATAAGGAGATGATGCGAGGCAAGGAGCACCCGATACCGCGAAACCCGAACGGCCCGAGGTGGCAGAATCAGCCGTGGCAACAACCGTGGGCGCATCCGCCGGGGCCGCCGTACGGGCCGCAAGGACACTTCAACTCGGACATGAGGCCCGTCGGCCCTTGGCAGAATCCGCGACACTTTGGGCCGATGCGACCAGATTATCAGTATCACAGCGGTTTCAATCACAACATGGGACCCAACCCGCGTTTAGGACCCGGCATGATGGGTCCGATGGGTCCGAACGGGCCGATCATGTCGAATCTTTTGTCGAACGGCCCAATGGGACCAATGGGACCTATACCAAACTCTCCTTTGGCGATGGGATGTCATCCCGCGATGATGATGAACAACGGACCAATGTCTAATCTTATGGCAAACATGCCACCTCTGGCGTCTGGTAGAAATGTATCGCCGAACACGTCCGCCAAGTACGATCTCGAGGATAACGATGGTTACGGTAACTCTATGTTGAAGAACCCGCACAGCCGCGAGTTACCGCCGCCGGATTCGAAACTGTTGACCGAGATAGCGAGAGACACTATGAAATCCATAAATATCGACAATATACCGCGGGAGATTCGTTATTACGGGCAAACCGGCGTGGTGTTCATGAACTGGGACGATCCGCGGGAGATCGGCTTCCAGGACGGCATAAGAAGAATATTGATTGACGAGAAAGATACTATAACTTGCGCATTTAACGATCCATACAAGGAATTTATATATGACGGAGAAGTACACAGGTGAGTACATCATTTCCAGACGCTACTTGAACGGGGGCTTCAAATGTTCCGACGCATTCGGAGTTGAGGTAATATCGCAAATCGTATCTTTTCAGAATCAAACTCGGTGCGCCCACTCGAGAATTGTATGTCGACGATTGCTGGTACGAGTGTTACTTTGGTGGCATGCCGATAACAATCGAGCTCAGCGGGAAGAAGGTCAGCGTGAAATTAGAGGGTCCACCGCCGCAAGTCAAGATCGGCACCGTGAAGCGAACGGATCTCGTGGTCGCGAAAATTAATCTTATTATTAACGCGAGAAATATGGTGCCGGTGTTTCTGGACGCGAAACCGCAGATGTAAGTATTGCCCGCAGCGTGCAAATTATTTGCACGATTATAAATGTGCCGTATTCTTATAATCACACGTGTCTCTTTTGCAGATTCGAAATCGAGGGAAAGCCTCATACTTTGGAATTTACGGATGCACTGCAGACAGTTCTCCTAAACGGACGACCGTTTAAAGTCGAATTTGGGGGTTTACCTAAACCTATTATTGTCAGAGACAAGAAGCATTTCATTAGATTCTCGGTATTGCCTAGAGGAGTACGAGCGGGTCATGTGAAAATTGCTGGAATGAGAGGTGAAGGTCCGATTGAATCGCCACCGCCGTCGACGCCACTGAGAGCTCAGAAACCGAAGGTAGACGCTGCTCCTGCTCCGAGCCAATTGCCCACTTTAGAACACGAATCCATGTCGCAAGACGATCTAGATTTTACTTCTACTTCAAAGCCAGGTAAAACATTATCTCCACCGCGTGTTTCGTCGCATTACGATTCTTTAGTCATTATGATTCAAGTATTAATTATTAATATCATTTCAGACCTGCAACTAGATATCTTGTCGTCAGTTTTACCATCAGCGATGGCTCCGTCGTCCGGCTTGTCGTATCAAGCCGAGCCCGTAGAAAATCCGCCCGCACCAGCACCAACATTGCCATTGAACATGAGCGAATTGTTCCAAAGATTGGTCGAGACTGGTATCGTTCCCAATCTCACAGAACAGAAGAAGCAGGAGGAAGAAGAGAAGAAAGATTCCGAGATTACTCCAGTTTCCTTTGATAAACCGGAAACTCTTAAGATGTAAGCTATCTTGCTATAAGTCGTTCGTTATATTGTAGCTAGACGGAATCAAATCTCCAATATTAAACGACGATTTTCCTTTGCAGCAAGCAGCCAGCGATTGCAACAGCGTTGTACAGTGGCATGCAATGCAGTTCTTGCGGCGCCAGATTCGCGCCTGAACTGGCTACTCGGTACAGTCACCATCTGGATTGGCACTTTAGGCAGAACAGGCGTGAACGAGACTCCGCGAGAAAAGCGCATTCCCGACCATGGTATTACGATGTCAGCGACTGGATACAGTTTGAAGAGATTGAAGATCTGGAGGATAGAGGTTCGTATATATTTGTTTATCCTTCCTTTCGGTACGCGTTACTCGGAGAGTTCCAAGTGTAAGTCCAGTCGAACTATAGATAGCAATATATTTAGCTCGGCGAGAGGATATCGGAGCGTAAGATTTGGATAACTTTTGTAACCACAGCATTCGCTGATTGTTCGATCACGACGACACGCCTCGTCGTATCTTGTATCTTACATCCCTCGGTTTTTCTTTCAGCTCAAAGTTGGTTCGAGACTGAAAAACAGACTGCGGAAACGGAAGGTATGGCTACCGATGACTCGCCTCAGGAAACGTTGCAGCCCAGCGTGCCGACTGGCAGCGACGAGGATTCGCGATGCCAAGTATGCCATGACGCATTTGAGCAGTTCTATAATGAGGAAAAGGAGGAGTGGCATTTGAGACCGGCGGTGAATTACGAGGGCAAGAATTATCATCCGCTCTGTCTAGAGGATTACAAGGTTCGTATCTCCCTATTCCGATCGGTGCATACGTTTGAATCTTGTCGATCGATATATCGACGTTATATCCCATTAACGAAACTACCGTTTGTTTCATTCTTACAAAAAATAAATAGGAAAAGAGTCTAGCGGTACGTGATTCAATAATTCATCTTCATGGCACATCCTTTATAAGCTTCCTTGCTCCTAGTATTATAATAGAATAAGTAACTGCTACTTCACAAGCAATATTTCCGTTTATTTAAAACATGTACGAGAGATTCTTTATTTTCTTTAACATCTGAAAAAAAGAGAAACATTTTTCACAATTTTTTACTTGTACATACATATATGTCCTCGTATATCACTCGCACATATGCTGATTAATTTCAATATAACTAACATGTATTTTTTCACATAATTGCTGAAAGAAAGAGGAAGTGGTCGAGAAAGAGGAAGCGATCGACAAAGAGGAAGCGATCGAGAAGGAGGAAGAGATCGAGAAAGAGGAAGAGGAAGAGATCGAGAAAGAGGAAGAGGAAGAGGAAGAGATCGAGAAAGAGAAAGAGATTGAGAAAGAGATCGAGAAAGAGGAAGTGATCCAGAAAGAGGAAGAAATCGAGAAAGAGGCGTCTGTGATAGACAAAGAAGAGGAATCTCCGGGCGAAGAGGAAATTATACCTTTTGAGAATATTAAAATTAAAGAGGAGCCACTTGACGTGGATGAGCAGCCCGACAGCGAGATGTTCGATTTCAGCAACGTGGAAGTCAAAGAGGAGCCTATGGAACTTGAACCAGGTATGTCTGTCCGTCTTAGATTATTATGCAGACGAAAACTACTTCCTAGTTTACGCATGGACGATTTTATGATACTTCCGATTTCTCCTCAGATCCCGAACAAATTGTGAACGAGTCAGCCACAGTGGACACAACGTATGCCGCAGTGAAGAGCTCCATCGACGGTAACGTGGAATTGGACTCGACACCGGCGGCTATTCCCGCGGCTCCATCGCGAATTAAGATCAATATTACTAAACCGCTAAACATTAACAAAGAGCCGGAGGAAAATAAAGAAAAGGAAAAGGTCGCGGCTGAGACGCCTGTAGAGGAAAACGCGGAACAGCCATTAGTGGCAGCTTCCATTAAACCGAGTTTACAGGGTAGGAAGCTATCGAATTTACCTCCTGTAGAAAAAGGGCAGGAATTATCAGGACTTTGTGTTATTATGTAAATAGCGTGTACAAAGTTTTTAGTGACCAACTCTCTATGCGTCGCAAGTGTATAAAGTGCTAGATTTACGTTTAGATAGAATACTATTTCTAGCTTTACACCTTGTACATTATAATTTTGTACAGCTTGTACGGCGTGATAATGTGACTCTTGTAAAAAATATCCCATAGAAAAAGCTTTTAGGGTATTTATCTCTTCTCAATTTAGATAAATTTACATAAATTTAAATCTTACATACACAGTTTATTCGAATGCACCAACTGATTACTTTATACTCTCGCCAGTCACGTCGTACAAGTTTAAAGGAAAAAATGTGTGAAATGCGTGCAAGAGTGAATATATTCCAAGTATTAACATCTTGATCAACGCGAAAGAGAGAGAGGAAAGTGAGAGTGAGAAAGAAAACAGAGCTGTACATATTTTACGTATTTAGGAAGACGTGTAGTTAGCATTCCTGCGCGAGTGAATGTTTTTAGCGATAATGCTTTTGTGATCAAAAGAACCATCACGAATTTACCGACGATTGACACTCGCTGAAAACTTAAGTACCACTTGTACTTGTTTGAGTTTAATGATGCTTTAAGCTCATTGGAAATTTCAAGTACGGTTTATACGCTTGCGTGCGTTTTACGGTAATGTGCACTCACCTGCAACGCCGAGTACTTGTACTCGTGTAAAATGCTGCAGACCCTTCGAGATGAGCGATCTCATCGAGGGAATAGGAGGCTGAGTCATTTCAAGGTGTACAAATTGTGATATACATGGATTAATCTACTTGTAATATACATGCAAACCAACACGCAACGGAAAAACAATGACGACTATAAGAAAGATGACGAGGACTACCGCAATTAGATATACATTATTTTGTTGTATAAAAGACTTGTTTATTACAGGTTTGACTTTCTTTTTAATTAACCTTTCTACTATATCCTTAATAATTATAGCTTGGAAAACTACTTAGGGTACGGATTTCGATTCATAACTAGGAATACTTGAAACAATAAAGATATTGATAAAAAGTTAACATTTTCGTTGTATGTCTCAATATTCAATAAACTGCATTCAAAATGGAAACCACTGCGTACGTCTTCAAACTTTTCCCTGAAAAATTTAGAATAAGTTACAAATACGATCGTACCTCCGCATCCATCGAGAAACCTGTGTGCGCACATCTCTATCGTTTGTAGAAAAAGACTTCCATCTCATCAACTGCGCGCGACATTGTTTTTCCATTGGAAAGCTGGCTCGACTTGTTACATAGCCACATCTTTTTTTTTTTGTTAGGGGATAAAGTAAATGACACGACACCCTGGAAAACTTTATTCATAAATTGCAATTGTGCGGCCATCTGGGGAATGGCACGGTATCCTTGATATTGCCGATCCCTAGGACGCTTTGCAAGAATCTGTCGAAGCCCATTCCGAAGCCACCTGTTGGTACATTGCCATATCTACGTAAGTCTAAGTACCACGAGAGATTCCCCGTGGGGGGTAGTTTTAGCTGTAGTTTCCCGTAATCGTCCTCGCGCATACTGCCTCCCACCAATTCTCCCACGTTCGGCGCCAGCAGGTCCAGTGCCGCTACCTGTTTAAAAAGAGAATTCATCAGACGTGTGCACAGGAAACGTATCGTTCCTAAGTCGCGCTTGGCTCACCTTGGATGCATCGTCCTCGCACTCCTTCATGTAAAATGGCTTATTGGTCTTCGGCCAGTTAACAACGAACACCGGCACCCCGTCGTTATGCTGCACTAAAAACAGTTCGTGCTCTTTCGAAAACGCCTCTCCGTACTTGGCGGTTCGTTGCAATCGATCCGCGTGATGGTTCAACACGTTGAACGCATCGTCGTACGTTACGCGTGCGAACGGCTTGTTCAACCATCGCGGCTCCGGGGCGTCAATCGCGCGCAGCTCCTGGGCGCCCTTCTCGATCATACGCTCAGTAACTCGAGCCACCAAGAGCTCGACCTCCTCTATCAGCTCCTCGATACGCGTAATAAACGCCAGCTCCGCCTCTAACATGTAAAACTCTGACAAATGCAATCTCGACTTTGAATTTTCCGCCCGGAACGTAGGCCCGAAAGTGTACACTTTCGTGAGAGCTCTGAAAAAGTTCTAACAAATACATTGGCATCCCATGAGACGAACGTGCGGAGGTACAGCGAGAGAGAGAGACGCGTACACCGACGGTACGGCGTCGGAGAGCTTTAATCACCTTGCTACCGCCTCCAGATGCAACTGTCCGGAGACAGTGAGAAAGGCGGTGGTGCCGAAGTAGACCTCGTCCTCGGACTGACCCTCCTTCTCCTCGTTATCTCGCTCCTTCCTCATACTCTCTAGAATCTCCTTGGACTGCGGCCTGACGACAAACACCTCGCCCGCGCCCTCGCAATCGTTGGACGTCAACATCGGCGTGTGCACGCTTATGAAGCCCCGGTCTCGCAGGTGATCGACGATCGCCGCGCCGGCGAGGTCGCGCAGCCTCAGCAGGCTGGCGAAGCCGCGCGTTCGCGGACGCAGGTGCGGGTACTGCCTGACATAGTCCGGATCGTATTTCTTTCTCGGCGCGAAGGGATACCCGTCCTCGGCGACGCTGCACGCGCCGAGCACGCGCACCCCGGTGGCGCGCAGCTCGACCTGGCCGCTGGGTGCCACGGCGAGGTCTCCCTCGACGCTGACGCTGCTGCCGTAGCGCAGCTCGTCGGGGCGCAGCGCCTTCGGCATCACGACTTGCAACATTTCGCACGTCGATCCGTCGGAAATGTCGACAAAGACGTTATCTTTCATCTTGCGCAGCGCGCGTACCCATCCCTAGGCATGGAAGAGATCAATACATACATATCTGAGTAAATGGAGCGTCAGGCCGGTGTGAGATTCGCTCGTGGGACGCGACGCCCGGCTCAACGTTAATCTCAAACGCAAATACTACCGTGTGCCTCGAGTCTGTAAACAGGACAACATAGGGTGCTCGTGAGGCAGTCACGGGACAACCATAGGACGGCACTCGGAACGTTCCTTCTCAATTAATTATGCAACGTCGCTCGATACCGAGATATCGACGTCCGACAGCTGCCTGGAAGGGCATCGGCGTGATCTTCCAGGCATCCCTCGGGCCCTCCGCGGTGTTCGTTCCGCGGGTGCGAGGGGGGGAAAAAAAGTCGCATAATGGAGCGCGTCTAACCTGTACTTTGGCAGGCTTCCCGATCGCCGCTCTCGACGCTGTATCTAAAATTGACGTGCATTTGTGCGCGCCGCACGCGACGATGCCCGTCTTTGGCGGGCGTAGCCTCCCGATATACCTCGTGAGCATTTCCGAGGGCGGCCGATCTCCCTGACAATTGTGGCTCACGCGGAAAAAGTGCCCACTTGCACGAGAAAATTCAAAATGGAGTCGTGCGTCGGGATTACGCGCGCGGGTGAAAGCGAGAGCGAGGTGGCGCAAGCCGCGTCTCCACCGGCGCCGTCGCGCCCCGTGAAAACGGCGAATCGGGCCTGAGGAATATCCAGACGAATTTGCATAAACGTACGCGCGAGGAAATCGATTGGTCCGCAAACACATGCGCGGGAAAAAAACGGACAGATTTCCTTTGCCTGTGCAAGCATCGCCTGGACGGGGCCCAATGGCATCTTTAACTAGACCCCGGTTCATCTCGAATGCATTAAATTATGAAAGATTGATAGCGCTACGTTAACAAGATAGCGGCGTTATTAAAGAATTGATTACATTAATTCGGATCTGGTTCAAGTCGTTTAAAAGTCCGCACTGAATTTTCCGGAAAATATGACACTAACTTGATATTGTATGCGTCTTTCATTTTTCAATCTTATGTTTAATCCCTCGCAATCGTCAAACTGTTAGATACGCAATCGTTTTAAAGAGAAAAACAATAAACTCAAACAGCAAATTGACCGAGGGCCTCGAAAGTCTTGCGAGTCCTCCGCGATTGTGCAGTTGGAAGATTATTAATTGCCGGACTAGAACAGGCTGCTTAAACTAGCCCTTTCGACTTGGGAATAGACAGATTTTGAAATGAAAAAACAGGCTCCGTTTTGAATGCAAATTAAAAATCTTTGTAGCTCGAATCCAAAATTAAACATATTCGAAATATCTTGTTTCGTGTCGACAATGTAGCTGATTAAATTTCCATTGCAAATATCATAGATTAGTATCGTTCGCATGCATTTTTCTGCCACCGCTCGCTTATTCACACGCGAAACGCTCATTACATTATACCGCAGTTTAATGGTTCAATTGTAGTAGGTACTTTTTTTTCTTATAAATAAATCATTGTTTAAATATATAATTATAAATGATACATTAGATAATTAAACCTTATGGGGTTTCACTCAGCTGCCAATATCTACATTGCATCTGCATCGTTCGCATTGCCCATCAATTTTATAACTCGAGAATGTATGTATATGTATACATCTATTGCATATATTGGCGTGATACATGTTTTATACGATGCAAACTTAATTTTATAGCTGATCTTTCCTGCCTGTATCCGTTTAAACTGCAATATTAGCGAGCCTCTAAGTTAATAGCTCTTACTATGCATATCAGACTTCGTTTATATGTTAGTTAATATTTTTGTATACGGAAGCAGTAGTAAATCAATATCTTATCAAAGATTACGGTACGTGTCCACTTTCTTTTGAATATCGCGCTTAAAATGTCATTGTATCACATCGTGATTAACAGATGCAATCTAAACACTCCATCTAATCACGCAATCTGAAAAAACTGTCAAGTCCAGTATCCTCCGCTCTTTCGTCTTCAGTCTTCGCAGCCAGACCTTCAAGATCGGGAGTAGCTGCCTCTGCGGTAATCGGATAAGACGCTGCTTCTTCTTGCCCTTCTTCGTTATCTATATTGCTAATGGGAAGCTGGAATAACATACAGCGTATTCAGTATCCACTTTGCCATTCGCTTAATTTCGAGAAAAATTTAAAAACGCAAAAGAAGGCATACTTTTTGATTTCCCGAAGCTTCCGGTCTTGATTGATCAGCTTCTGCCAAGTCCTCGTTATAACCAGGTTTAGCGTTAGGAGCAGAAGGGACAGTACTCGCAGAGTCAAGTGGAAAGGCGCCCTAACGATATCAGAAGTTATAATTTAGATAAACAACCGTGTCACGCATTGTGTTCGAGGTCTCCTCTCGTCACCCTGTTGACATTATTATTTACCGTTATTTCCAAATGTTCTATTAGTGGTAATTGAGACGAAGCGGGAGAAGAGGCAGTGTCTACGTGAGATGTCGCGACCAATTCCATCATAGACGTGTGATTTTCCAAAGTAAAGGTCGCACCGACATCCGAGTCTTCGTCGCTAGACTGACAACTTTCGCTTGCAGTTAAGTCAGGTGCTTCGTTCTGCGAAGAATGTTAATTGACAGTTAATTTTATACTTTGCAAAATGATTCAGAAACGTACATATTGTACTCTGCGGATTATATACCAACCAAGGGATTATTTAAGGTTTGCTTGTCCTGTAAAGCACGTAACGATCTTAACAAATGAGGCCGCAGTCTGTGATCCTCGCTAACAGCCTTGATCTCTCGCAAAATAATTATTAAGTAATCGGGCCGTCGTTTGTTCGCCGTGACGAGCGAACTGATCGCCTCCTTCATTTCTGAACTGTTCATTGTAAAATCGAGAACACATTTATATATAAAAACTACGCAAAATAATTGCACTTGATAATTTAAAAAAAAAAGAAAGTTCAAACCTTAGATTATTAAAGAGATTATCATCGTTCATCGCAGACGGTAATCGAAAAGAACTGTGAGCTTCCTCCCAAAGGTTATCGACTTGTTGAGACACTTCATTTGCTATGATGTTACTGCGGATAGTAGCATTTTCTCTGTCCTGTTGTTGTAAATTCGACGGCAATTGTAAATTCAATGAATATTGCGTATCCGCGCCGGTTAACGGTAAAGGTAAGTTGTCAGAACCTTGCTCTCGATTCCGCTTATCTTTTCTAGAAGCAAATAAAAGATATTACATAAAGAAAAGATATATTCTGATTGTCAATGTAATTAACTTTATATTGCGTACATTAACGAACTGTTAACGCTGCTTCCGCTTGTATTAGCCGTGTTTGCGGAACACGCCGAGCTTCCTATAGCCGTCGGAACATCAGTCATTGTCTTCACATTTCCCGAGAGCAGATTCTGTCGGGAATAACTGAAAATTTAAAAAAAATATATGTAATATCGAGACAAAAATTTGCAGATCAAAGTCAATTGCCAATCGTTAATCACAAAAAGTTGTATTACAAAATTTTAAAGAAGGATCCCGCTTGAAACCGCGGTTAATTCGCAAAAAAAATTTCAATGTTAACACAACCATTGTCATTACATGCACTGATATTAGTCATCGAAAGATTTACATTGATACGTGTCCTGTCCAAATCTCATAAAATCCATTTACATACCTATGTATTACCTACCAACAATCGTTTTCCTTACTTATTTTCGTTCGTAACCACCGGATTATGTAATCGAATTTATAATATAGTCTATACGTGTTTAATACAATCTTAAACAAGGGTAATGATAAGTAAGAAGTATAAGACAAAAAGTGTTGCAAAGGTAGATTGTGATGTTTATTACTAAGTGAAATGCGATACATTAGATTTACAGAAAAATGGGAGATGGATGCGATCAATCTGGCAACTATGAAATATTATGGACAAATGTAAAGTACAAAAAAATATGGAATTATACACTTTCTAATGCTGTAACACCTGATTATTGATACACTGAATTCAGTGATTCAAATTTCACTAATATTCCATGTGCGTCTTCCTCTGTTACAGTAATCACACTTGAAATCGGATTTGATAAGTACTTCTTTGTAGAAAACTACATGGTCAAAATTATGAATTACTGAAGCAGTGATTAATATTAATAAGTTTCATTAATATTCCATATTTATTTGTCTTTCTTTCTCTATTACAGTAATCACACTTGAAATCGGATTTGATAAATATTTTTTAGAAAACTCTATAGTCAAATAAAAATTTAATTATGAAAGAGTAGATGTACGCTTTAAAATATCTGTCTTTTTCACAAGTCTACCGTTTTACAATACGCAAATATTATATTAAAACCAATTCATTAATGAATCAAAAACTAACGAGACACATATTCGTCAATTTATGAGTCAATCTTTTTACCTTCGAAAATTGTCCCAGTAGTTGTTCGCTCTATTACCAGGAGGAACCTGATTGTTCAACTGTTGCTGCTGTTGCTGCTGCTGCGAGTTCGAGCTAACTATCGGAGTGTGCGATAACGCTGCTGAGGAATTAGGTAGCGACACGAGATTTGGTAAGGACGAGCTGGGAGGTAAAGTCGCGTCCAACGTATCGCCGAGATTGTGAACGCTACGGCCCAGATTAGAATGTTCCTCCTGACTTTCAGCGTTGTTGACGCGTTGCGGGGCCTGATTTTGCGTTCGCATCTGCAGATCGGTAATGGCAGCGCGCATGGTGTACAATTCGCGTTGCTGCGTCCACAGAAGCTGATAGCACTGTTGCATCGTTGTACCCATCATTTGCAACTGATGGGCTTGCGAACCCAGTAATAACTGCCGATAATACTCGACCGTGGCTACAACGAAAGAAACACATCTCAAACTTCTTTCTCTTTCAACTTTAAAAAGTCTTTAAGGTGACACTTTACCAGGTTGTCCTTGATTAATAGACGGAGGTGGTATGGGGCAGGCCCATAAATTTCCCACAACTCCGCCATTCTCGATAGCAGCAGGTGGACCGATATCCAATAAATTTTCTGACGTAGATACACCATCTACGCTTTGCTCGTTGGAACCTCCTCCACCTATACAAAATATATAAGATTAAGAGTTGTTTTGTATCATCGTAGTACATAACAAATAATAAAGAAAATATTTACCTCCAGCGGCGGACGGCCAGATATTTGCCGGCGTACTGGTATGACTAGCTTGGGAACCGGAGCTCCTTTGACTGTTTTGATCTAACGCTTGAACGTCCCGATTCATATTGGAAGGCTGCGTTGGTTCCTATTTATTCAAAAGAGATGTGTAATTGCGCGATTACATAAAAATTAAGAAAATATAAAGTTTGTGAACCTTTCTTATCAGATCTTCCAGTTGGCTTCTTTTCGTCTGCTTAGATTGACTCTCTGTGCTGGCGTTACAACTCTGCTTCTTTTCGTTTGCGCCTAGAGGTATAAGCGCTGGCGGAGGACGAGAGTTCGTAGAGGCAGAGTGAGCGGCTGCAGTTAATGGTTGTTTCAAACGCTGCAATTCGGCTCGCGTAGTGTGCAGCAAGGCCGATTGTTCTTTAAGCTCTGACGTCAGTGCCTGGAAAATGAGCAGAGTGCTGTAGTGTGCGTTATGTTATTATCCAGAATGTCGACATTACCCGTATCTCTGAAATATTAGACTCGAAACATCGAAGTTTTGCATGATTGACATCGTTGCTTCTCTCAAACGACATATCCTCGACAATCCCGTCTGCACTTTCATCATGCGCATCAATATCCTGATCGGGCTCGGACGAGGAGTCGATGGAATCACGAATTTTAACACTGTCCTCCATTAGAGCCTTTATGTGTGCAAGCTGCGCCTTCATCGTCTCCAATTCCGCGGCCTTGTCCTTTATTGTGTTTCTCGAGCCTTCCGAGCTCTGAAATAATACAAATATATGATAATCATAAACGACAAATATATGTTATAAGTCACAAGAAAGAAGAAATTCACAAATGTGTAATCGTATCGACAAGTTCGGAAAGTTCGGGAACGACAAACGTCTTTAGCGTTCGTAAGTCCACTGGCGTATCGCGCAGGACTGTGTTAGTAAATAGAGTATATCGAGGAATAGACGTTGATACAATTTTTTAAAGAAGCAGTTTGTTGTAATCAACGTCGCAAAGGACAAACTTGGATACGACGTTACATGTATAAAAAATATTAGGAATAAATCTCATATCTGTGAAGCTTGTGTTCTCTGGGTGAACTTGTAAATAAAAATAAAAATTGAAACTAACACAACTGCCTCTGTCGGACGTCTCTATCGCTTGTAATTCCGCCACAAGATGATCCATTTGTTTCTTCTTTGTCTGCAGCTGTGCCAGTTTGCCTCTCAACACCGCCGTTTCCGACTCGAGCTGCTCGACATTGGAGGGACTCGGCAGGGACGCACGATTGTCCTCCCACGTGGCGGAATTGGGCGTATTCTGATTCTCTTGCTGCAGAAGCATCTGTTGCGCCTGACGCGCCTTGTTCAGTCTCTCCCTGACGCACATCTGCATGTCCGCTAAACTGGCCTGCTGCTCCTGCAACTGCGCGAGCTTGTTCTGATACTCCTCCATGTTCCTCCGTAATTGCATCTCTCTGGCGTTGCATTCGTCCATGTCCTCTCTTCCGTATTCGCCATTCTACGGGTGCGCAAAATAACATGTTCAGTCTTAACAAAATCAACCTACGTATCTCGATAAAGCTGAAAAGACTAACAACCTCATCGGGAATCCCATGATTGTGATACTGCTCCAACAATTTGGAGAGCTTTGTCTCGCTATCGTGAAGATCGTCCACCATTTTACTCAGCTTTTCCCTCTGAGCCTGTGCGCGCTACAAGACGCATTTATAATTGTAATATACAATACGAAAAATCACTCGAGCACATTTTCCACATACAATATAAAGTATCGAATACTCACAGGATCGGAAGATTGATTGAGAGAGTCTATCATTGTCGCAGTGGTCCTGATGTAGTCTCTGATCTGATTTAAACGGGTCTCTACTTGGTGTCTATCGGGCTGAGATAGAAAAGATAGAATATAAAGATTACTAAAGGCCATGTCATTACAGCCAAATTAAAATGATAGAAACTACAATTTAAAGTACAAATATACAGATGCAACGCGCCGTACCATCTTGTTCACATTGGAGGGCTTAGCCCCCTGTAATTGCGACGGCGACTGAGTCCTAGGATCAGTAAATGGTACCATTTTAAACCAGGGTATGTAATCTTCTGTACTGTAATTGCACTGTCTCGCCGAATTGTGCGACGCTGCAACGAGTAAAGTTGAAAGTGAGTAAAATTAGTGCAAAGTAAAAATTATGCCGAGCACGCGACACAGGGAGAAGAGCTAAATATATGCCCTCACCAAAGTCGGGTAAGTCTTGGTACGTGGTAAAGTACGAAGAATGCAGCTGAGAGGAAGCTGACCTCGTGTTGCTGTTCTTCGCCTCCCTCGGTACTCTCGCCTCGCGCTCGCACTCGCTCGCCACTTGCCAGTCCAGTTGGCACTAATATACAAATCGTTTATAGACAGCTAATTAAACTATCGCAAAACGTGGAGAAGCGGAAGCGGGCTCGCGGGTGCGCGTTGGAAGAAACGCTCGCAGCTCTACTGCGGATTCACCTCCGTGGATATGTATTCTTAGAGTGAGAAACGCCCCACTACTCCGCGGTTTATTAATAGACCGAGAACTCGACACTGCTGGAGAGCGGCTTAACAGCGTATCCCTGGTCGGAGTAGACCTCGGGCGTCCTCTCCCACCCGAGTATCATTCAACTTGGGATTTCATTCAACTTATTTATATACTCACTTCCCGCCTCTCGATCGCTCTATTACAACTATTCGTCCATCGTTACTTTTCCGCGTACGATTCCCCGGCGACCAAATACATACAACAAGCATTAAAAAATGGTAATTTGCACAAGACAAAGCTGACATGATCAACGACATTCAACAATTCCTTGAGCCAATAAAATGATTAACTAAAAGAATATGTGTGCAATATGTCTCGTCGCTTTCTCTCCAAGTGGATTACGCGGCTCCCGTGCCGCTGGAAAGCGGGGGAGAAGCGGTGCTGGGTTCCCCGGTGGATTTACCAAGTTGTTGAAGTGCTGCGGGTGGCCGTGGTAAGCCGAGCGGTTCGCGAGCTGCTGGTTAACGGCGGACCGCTCCCGGTTCCTGTCGTTCCTGCGGTTGCTCTTCGGCAGGGTGCCCGTGTTGCGGGGACCCGCGCCACCGCCACTGCCGCCGCCGTTGACTCCGGGCGACATCGCCGCTTCCCCTCGCACCAGGCGTTCTCTCTCGGCGGTCCGAGACTGCGTCCGCGGCCCTTAACCTCACCGCGCTCAGGGGCCGTTCGCGCGTCGGCCCCCGGGGATAGCCTGGACCAAGCCCGGAAGCGAGAACGGACGCGAGACGCCCTCGTCGAGAGGGGCAGGTCGACCGCGCGAAAACGCGACGAGGAGATCCGCGGCCTCCGCGATCCCCACGGCGTTTCTTTACCTCGGTGACGCGGATCGCGCGTCCGGTTGGTCTTACGTCAAAATACTTGGCAGACGGCGCCGAGAGAATCGGGAATGCGACTATGAATAGAACGCTCGCGATCGCGTCCGATACGCGTGACTCGTCGCGATATCACGGGGGAGATACGTGTCGCGGCCGTGCCCGGACGACGACGGCAATCGAGAATGTTTCCTCAACGCGCCGACACTGCGGCCATTTTTAAATGTCCCACGGGGGTGACGGGGGGTGACTTTAAACGAACGCAGACTGTTCGAGCTGACTTGTCCGACGATTAAAGATATCGACGAACTAACGATTTAATGTACCCGGTCCTCCGTTTCGATGTTTTAAATCTGATCGCCGGGACTTTCTGAACGCTTTGCTCAGAAATCTCAGAACTCTAGTCTAACAATAATTATTCTACCGAGGCCCTTGCCAGTGAGAGATGTTTTCGAACGGAAGCGAAATGGAAAAAGGATCTACAGGGAATCCCTCTTGCGATTCTCTGCGCTGTCTCATGTGTATTCAGCTATTCGCTGGTCCACGGATCGGGTCCCTCCGTAGCCGAACCTATCGTATTTAAAAACATTTTTCATCCTCTTCCCGATGGGAATGATTCTGCGATTGGCGATCCGTGGTTTCCGCTCCATGAGACGTCGCCCTCCCTGCTGCTCCCTGCTGGTCCCTGCTGCTCCCGGCTGCTCCAGTGCTCCTGTCCGCGGTGGTCTGCGGCGAGGCTCGGATGCGCCGACATTTATACGCCCAGCCAACACCGAGCGTCGACCAATCGGTGCTCGACCCAGCGGCGCGCCGCGTTCATTGGCTGGTGCGTTGGTGGTGGGGAACTGAGGTATATAAGCGGCATGCAAGGGGTCCCGCGCAACACTAATGAGAGCGTCCGCCGATGGTTGACCACAGAACATTGGTTGACTCCGCGTCACGTCGCACGGGCAACTCGACCGTAACTTCGCTCGAGATTCTCCAAGATTCTCCCTTCAGAATCCCGAGGCTTCACAATAGCCAGGATCTTTGCCAGAAGCTGCTTGCAAACAGACTTTTCTGTTTCTTCCCGTTTATTATTCTTTAAACATCCCTATCGCTGTATGACATTTTGCAAGGTAAAGTATTGAGTTTCTGGCAGGCCCAGAGGTCTTATAAGATTCACCGTAGCGTCCTCGTCCAACTTCGACCTCTACTTGGGTGGGTCGTTTCCAGTGCCCGTTCTACACCTAGCGGTTATCCTACTTGTGGCTCATCCGAGTGAGTAAATAAATGGACAAAGATCGTATTGAGATTTAGAGACTCGGGTGCTATTTCTACATAAGAAGACTTAAAAATCATAGTAAAATCATACAGAAAAACCGTACTTAGTATGATAGTCATACTAAAATACCCGTGTAAACTTCTCCACTCGGATAAGCCAGAAGGATCGTCTTTGTTATTTTGTGTCATTCGCCAAATGTTAAAGAAGGATAAATGATGCATCATAGAGCGCATCGTAGAACGGGCTTAAGCGTCGCGGCGAGTGTCGCTGATCGCAACGAGCACGCGGTGGTCGACAGCTGCTGCCAACTGGTGCACGCGAGCAGCAGGCGTCAGGCCGACCGCGCCGCCGACGACGGCGCGGCGCGGTGTCGCGCGAGCAGACGCACAGCTCGATGCGTTTCCCGCCTGCGGCGTCCGGCGAGGGGTTTAATAATAAATGCTCGTGTCCCACCGCCGCGGTCTTTACACGCGTCTTTACAGCGCGGTATCTAGTCCACGCCGGGCGATCGTCAACGCCTACGACGAACTGCCGAGCCGAGCCGAGAGTCTCGCGCTCGCGGCGCTCGCTCGCTCGCTCGTTCTCTCGCGACTCCCGTCCCGTCTCCTCTGGTTGCCTGTCACCCGCGAGCTCGCGGGCAGTTCGCCGCGAGTCGCGACCGGACAGTCGCGTCGGGCGTCGTGTGGCATCGCGGCGAAATTCGAACGCGCGCGAGGAACGCGAGAGGTAGAAGAAGCGCGAGGAAACCCGCGTCGGCGTGTTCGCCCCCCCCCCCCTTCCCTTCCGTCGACCCCGTCACCGTCGTCCTCGTCGGCCTCGTTTCCCCAATTCCCCGTCGATCGGAACGCGCGGTTCCCCCCATGCGGCCGCGGAGCCGCGGCGGCCCGCGCGCCCGCGCCCGCGCCCGCGTGCGGCATGCATGCGAGCGTCGTGCGTGGCTGCGTGCGTGACAACGGCGACGACGACGACGGACGCTTCTGCCTCCTTGGAGTCACGCGCGGATTTATCTCCCGACGCGGTGAAATGCCGACAAGCTGGCGGCACGCGTGCGACGGCTTTTCGGTCAAATGCGGAGACGCGACCACGCACGGGTGAGTGTTTTCATCTTTCTGTCTCTCTCTTTCTCTTTCTCTTTCTCTCTCTGTTTATCTCTCCCCATAGCGCGTGTGTGTGTGCGTGTGCATGTGTTGCATCGCGACGGGGTTTGAGGTTAGAACGCGGGAGATGCCAAGCGCAGGGCGAAGGGCCGGTCCACGCAGGGACGGCCGAGAGGATGACACCGAGTGAACTGCCGGCCGAGCGGTCCACGCCGGCGCGGCGTCCCGTCAACGCGGGTGAAATTATTATTTGTCCTCGTCGCCTGGCGCGCATAGAGCGAGAGAGAAAGAGATCAAGTCGGCGAATGACAATTGGAAATTTCACAGGCGGTCGAATCTTAGTCCCTCGACTAACGACAAGTTTAATCGCGGCGCGATCGAAGTCGGCCTAAATCGCCGACGGGTCTAGAGCCGCCGCGGCGGCCTTGACGCGAACGAGGCGACTTCCTTTCCCTTCGCGAGGTAACGAGCACGTTTCTCGAGCACTGCTTTTAGATCGCAAGCCCCGAGATTATGCTTTATTCGGTCAGCTGTTACTTCCCGGGCGTCGCGACGAGGGTCCCGTTACGGGATCGCGTCGCATTTGTATACGCACGCCAGGCAGGATACTATGTTCGCCCCCGCTAAATATTTATCAGGCCTCATCCTTGACATTCTCGCGCGGCTGCGATGTCCTTTTCCGCGTATGTAGATTAGCTTTAATCTCGCTTCGACTCGTTTTTCATTCCCGTATAATTCGTAGCCCCCGGTTTCACCAACGTCGCTCGACAAGCTTAATTCGTTTTTTGTCTCGTTCCAACTCTGGAAAGAGACAAAAACGTGAATTAAACTAACATTAAAATTAGGCGACGTTTGGTAATGCCGGGCCTTCGTGTTTGTCTCTTGCTAAATTAACAGTTGGAAAGAGACGAAGAGCGAATTAAGCCAAGCTCAAAGCTAAACGACGTTGGTGCAACCGGGCCTTAGGCTCAACGTTGTGCAAATTTAAACTAAGTTCAACTCATCCTTCGTCCCTTCCTGACTATTTAGGCCCGGTTTCGCCAAACGTCGCTTAACTTTAATCTCATTGTCAGTTTAATTCATGCTTGTCTCTTTCTAAAGTAACAATTGGAAAGAGGCGAAGAACGAATTAAAGCGACGTTGGTGAAACCAGGCCTTACTTATTGTCAGAAAGAGACAAGGAACTATTCAAACCGAGGCTAAAAAACGATTTTAACCGAGGTTAAACGACGTTGAAAAAGTAGAAGAAAAAACAAGCTGGGCCGAGTTAGAGTTAATCCCGCGCTGATAGAACTGGACGTGAAAGGATTATCTGAAAACATCACGAGCACATCTCGTCGCTCCTTTTTCCGGCGCCTTTAATTCGCACGCGCGACGTTAACGCGCGTCAGCTGATTGTACGCGGTGTCCCCGGTCGCCGCGTCCCGCGTTGTTATCAAACGAAAGTTGAGCGAGAGATTTTTTCCAATCGATCCCTTTAGGAGAATCGAACTTTTAGGCATTTCCCAACAACTCTAACTACGTTAACTCGGGAATGAAATCCCGTAGGCGACGGAGGAGCGTGAAACGGTAATCAGCTTAGTTTGACGAATATCGAGCTCGATGCAATAGGACGAATCTCGATGCAATTCCGACTAACTTACAATTAGTCGGCGATTAATTTGTCCGACGGAACGAATCGCTCGCGGCGCAATTTTCCACCGCGTGCTCCGCAATCGAAATAGCCCGGCGAGAATCGATGCTTCTATCTGCAAACACCGTGGGCGCTGCTTAACAAATCGATTTGAATAATGCCCGGTTTCACCAACGTCGCTTAACTTTAGGCTTAGCTTAATTCGTTCTTTGTCTCTTTTCAGCTGTCACTCTAGAGAAACAAACATGACCTAGGCTGGTATTGTCGTACGACAAATGTAATATTAGACTTAGGGCCAGTTTCACGAACATCGGTTAACTGTCAACTAGGGTTCAGTCGACTCCTTTTCCGTCTTATTATTTAAGAAGAGACGGAGAATCCATTACCCTTCGGTTGGCAGTTAACCGAAGTTTGCGAAACTAGCCCTTTAGGATTAAAGTTAAAGATTAAACTAAGAGATCAAAGTTAAGCAACGTTTGATGAAACCGAGTCTAAATCAGTTTGGCCGAAGCCGTCCTCCTGTTTGTTTCCACGTGGATTAACTTTAATCCCGACTTAACGTACTTTCTGTCTCTTTCTAATTCTTACAACTGCAGGTAGATTCAACCAAGATTGAAGTTGATAATTGAATTAAAGTTAATCTGCATCGCGGTGAAAATTACATTGGAGAACGATCGCCGGCTCTCCTCGATTATCTCGTCAACGACGATTGAAAATACGAACCGAGCGGCGGCGGCGGCGGCGGCGGCGGCGGCGGCGGCTTCCTCGCGTGACTGCGTGCATTTAGCA